AATAAGGAGGGTGGAGTAGACCCGAGTAGAGAAGATGCCTGCTCCCCAGCGGCCTTTTCTAGAACCCCCCGACAGTCCGTAGAGGCGCCGCAGAGGCCACCCAAATGCTTCCCAGAGGCGCCCCGGTGCTCCTGCGGACTTTCCCTGCCGGGCTCTGCCAGGCCCTGCGTGGCTCCGAGACGGGGGGGCCCTTCCCTTGCGAGCCCCGCGGGCGGCCCGGGCCGATCCGCCCTTCGTTGACTGGGGGTCTGTTGAGGGAGGGGCCCAAGCGGTCCGCCCGCGGGCCGCCCGCGGGCGGCCGCCCTGACCGCCCCGTCAGCGTTTCCCCAGGGCGCCCCGCTGAGCGACGCGCTGGGTTGAGGCTTCGCGGGCACGGGGGCCCGGCGCAAATTTCCCCGGGGCGGCCCGCCTGGCATTGATTTCCAAACAACACGGATTGATTTGGAGATCCAGTCACATGATTTGTTTTCTTTGTAGTGTATACTCATCAGAGATTGGTGCATCACCTAGTGCGCTCTCGGCGCGCGGGCCTCCGCCCCCGCCCGTCTTGCGATTGGTGCGCGATTGCTGCGCGATTCGTGCGCGATTGGTGCGCGATAAGTAGTTCGTGCGCCATGAGTGCGCCATGAGTGCGCTACTCGCGCGCGGTAAGTGCACGGCAATTGCGCGATTAGTGAATAATTAGCGTGGCAGCAGTGCATGATTAGCGTGAGAGTCGTGCGCGACGAATGCGCCCATGATGCGCGATTGCTGCGGGATGATGCTGACGCGCGATGGGTGCGTTTTCCCGTTCATGGGTTTGCTTGCCGGAAGCCCCTGATCTACGTGCCTCTCGCGAACGTATATGCGGCAAAATCTAAGTCGATCAGGCAGTCCAGAAAGTCTGCGCCCTCCTCATAGGCGACGATGTGAGCTGGCGTGCATTGGAAGCAAGTGCAGGAGCTAGCGTCCACCCAGATGTAGAAGTACTGGCCTGGGCGGCAATGCCCCCTGGCCAGCTGACTGGCACCTTCCACGGCATTCTCGGCAGATGAATGGCCGCGCCGTCGCGGGGAAGGTCATCGACCGCACCGCTTACTGCAGGCGTCCCCGCGAGCTTAGCCCAGAGCCCAGTCGTTGGCCCTCCCGTTGGACTTGCGCGTCCAATGGCCGCTAGGCTAGAAGGCGCGACAATCCTAATTATGTGGCATCCTCGCCCCGTGCCCACCCATCCCCGCGCTCGCGCAGATGCCCCTCGAGATCGGCAAAGTCGCGGTCCAGGAGCTCGTCGCCTCGCGGCTGCTTGGCAGGGGCGCCGCGGCGGCCGCCGCCCGACGACTCGCCGCCGCGGTTCCGATTCTCCAGTGGAAAGATTTCCAGGCGGGGTCGCGAGAGCTAGCCTCGTGGGGGCCGCAGAAGCTGGCTGCGCCACGCGGGCCGCTTTCCAGGCCGTGGCGTTTCATGGTCGGAAATTTATTCGTGAGTGCTTTGATTTTCCTGACAGCGTAAGCGTTCAGTCGCGCACGGCGCGCGCGGGAGACGCCCGGGCGCGCGCCTTGCTCGGTTGCTACCAGGGCAACGCTGGCACTGGCACCCCCTGAGCTATGGCCGAATGTGGTGCTTTTTTCGCCGACGAATGTTGTCGCGCTTGATTATCTTGGCGGGGTGCGAGTGGCCTGAGCTGTAAATTAGGGTGTGCGTGTTTCGCTGGTTCACTTGGCTGCGTCATTGGACTTGCCATTGGGGCGCCCCCGGGCCCCGCTGCATGCGCGCCGCGAGGGGCCCCGTGGAATCGTGCTGAGAGGTGCCCTAGCACAACGACAGGTGCCGCGCGTCGGCCCGCTCGTGCTCGGGCAAAGAATGTAGTGCGATCTGCCTTGCGCCGTTTGGTTCCGCCCAGTGCAGCGAGGAAGCTTGCTGTGAAGTGGCGGCCGTGATGTTTGTAATGGAGCGCCCCAGGACCCTGGGCACGCGCTCGGGACTTCTTCTGCCTGAAGGTGCTGGGCGTGGGCCTTCGCGTCGCTGAGCGGCCTGCGTGCCGCTTGTTTTCTGTTAGCGGGCGCGGCCATTCATGTTGGCACTTTCACTTGGCGGATGTCTCGTTCGAGGCGACCTCGCATGAGCGGTGCTCGGATTGCGGCGGCATCCCCGTCTGCGTCCTCTCCTCTGCCGCTGTGTTCTTCGCGGTGGCAGGCTTGTGCTGGCAGGCGCAACGCCATAGAGGGCTTCGAGATGCTGTGTTCTGCTGAACGTGACACTGCCGCTCTCGACAGATCACGACTGGGCGGTCATCGGGATGCAGATGAACGGCCGCGCGACGAGGCGCCCGTTGTTTGTTTGTTTATTCGTTTGTGTGTGTGTGTGTGTGTGTGTAAACCATTTGTGCAGCTTAGCGAGTGCTCCGTGATTCCCCCCCGTTGCTCCCGCCCGCCCTTTAGGTGGTTGGCGCTCGTCTGATTGCCATCCACCTGCTTCAGGTACTCAGCTCCAAGAGGATTTCGACGTGGATGCTGCCGCCGATGGTGCGGGGCCCGTCTGTGACGTTCGCGGCGACCCTCAGCCCGCTTGTGGTCAACGGCGCCTTCGCGTAGACGGCCCGTGGCTGCTGCTGATGGTGGCGCGCGACCGCGCGATCGCGTTCGCGGCGCTGCCGCAAGTGGCGAACTACCCCCGCGCGAAGAGTACCCTGATGCTCGCGATGACTTTCGGCCCGCTCGTGGTCAATAGCGGCTGGGTTTCGATGTTGATGCCGCTGGTGATGGTGCCGAACCTGCTTGCGAACGTCACGATGACCTGCGGCCAACTGGTGGTCAACGGCAGCCCCGCGTGGACGATTCCGTTGTTGCTGACCCTGGGGGTGCTCGAGCGTTCGATCGCGCTCTTGGCGCTGCCTCCGGTGGCGGGCGACCCCCGCGCGAAGACCCTTTTGCTCGCGATGACTTTCAGCCCGCTGGTGGTCCACAGCGGCTGCGCGAAAATGAATCCACGGCTGCCTTTGGTGGTGTGCGTGTGCGCGCGTGAACCGAGCATTGCTCTGATGGTGTCGTTGCGGGGGCGTCGAACGTGGTGATTTCACTCTGTTCAAGTGGGCGACCAAGCGGCGCGGCCCCTCTTGGCGCTGGCGGCGATGGCGCGGTTGACTCGCCGTGGGCGAGCAGCAGTAGGCGGGTCAAGAAGTGCGAGTTCTTCTGGCCGGAGGCGGGCGCAGGTGCTGACCCTGGAGGTCATGAGGGTCATCGGCCTGCGGACCTTGACCAACGGCCGCTACAGGACCTGCAGTTCCCACCTTTCCGCCCCGATCTCCATTTTGGCGGTGCGGGCGGCGACAATTGGCCCAGCTTTGGCGACGAGGTAGAGAGCAAGAGGTACAAGTTTCTCAGATCGGGGACCATGTGTGACAACCTGGTGACAGGCATTGCTCTACCTGGTGTTTCTAGTACGTGCCCTGAATACGGCATGGATGGGAGTAGGGGCCTTCCCCGTGACTCCGCATCGCAGGGTGCTGTTCCCGAGGTGTTTCGCACGTACCTTGGTCCAGTTACGGGGCTGGGGGCATCCCCCGCGAGCCCGCGGGCTGTTGTTCCTGCGTTGGCTAGTATGTGCTTGGGCTCTGGCACAGGGTTGGGGGCCTCCCCCGCGAGTCCACAAATCGATGAAGCGGTGCGGATGACGTCCCGCGGCCGCGCAGCAATATGAATTGCAGAAGTACAGATTTCGCTGCTCGGTGGTCGGACTTGCTGATTCGAGTCCTGCTTTGGAGCCTTGTTGGAATGCGCAGGCACGTCAAGAGGCGTTGGGCGAGATTCGAGGTGCGCGCCTTGGCCACGACCCTGCCAGCAACCCCTTCCTCAACCAACTCGGCGTAGGCTTCGCCGAATCCGCCTTGGAAGGCTGTTCACAGTTTGTCAACTACTAGGGCCCCGATCCCGAGACCGACAGCCCGCTGAGAGGCAGGAGGCCGCGCGCAGCCTAGGCGCCCGCCAGGCAAGGAAGGATCCGCTTTTCGGTCGATCGCTCCTCCTCCCCGTCGCGATCCCCTGCCTTTTTTCTTATCCTCCTGCGAACACCTCCGTTAAAATGTTATCACGTCTGCCTTCTATACACGTACGTACGCATTCATAAACATATGTGTACTTGTGTATATATATATGTGTATGTGTGTACATACATATATGTATATCTATATGTATGCAATGAAACTTTGGTCGTCGGCTCGGCTCTGAAGGGTTGAATGCCCAACCAGATTGGGACCATGTGTGGGAACTGGCTCTCGCCATCGATTCCCAGATGTTAACTTGCAGCGTTGGCCGAATTATTTGCACGTGAGACCGCGGAGTTCTGTGCTGTGCATCAGGTGCTTGTGGACGTGTGCAGCTAGCACAGTTACCAGATTTGGAAAACGACTGAAGCTTCAGTGCAGATCCGCCCAGGATGCGGCGCCCAGATCTGTCCTTATCTTGGTAAGTGGTGGGCCCACAGGTAGGCAAGTCCCCCGATTCGCCAGCGTGTTCTGTGACCGCGCGCCGCGGCGAGAGGTCACCTCTTCGATTCCTCGGAGAAGAGCGTGGTAGTGCCACAACATGTGTTTTCTAATTTGTGTTCGCATAATTGCTGCTCCCACGTGATGCCGATGATGTCGGTGCGACCCTTCGTATGGGATTGTTTCCCGTTGCGTTGGCCTCTGATTATTTTACTGTTGGCGCTCGTGCTGCTTGTGCTGATGCTTTCACGCCAGTTACTTCTGCGCTCTCGCGGTGTTTGCCGTGCCCTTTTCTTTCGTGCGTTTGTTGTCGTTGTTGTCAGGGGCAGTCACGCATGTCTTAGCGGTCGTTGGCATGATAATGTTGGTTGATGCCCCAACTAACTTGGTCGCTTGTTTGTGCTGCGCCGCCTTGCACAGTCGGCGAGTCACCGATCCCTTCGCCTGCTACCGGGGCCGCAGATGGGCGGCACTCTCTGCAGGGCCTCTTTCCAGATGAGCTCCGCGTGCATTGGCGAACCCACGGGCGCCCCCCCCCCAGGATGACTTCCACGGCGACGCGTCCGAGGGACTGCCCGTCAGGTGCTTCATGCAGGAGCTCCGCAGGGCTTCGCTGCAGCTTCTGGGAGCAGCAGCAGGAGGGGAAGGTGGAGGAGGAGAGGCATGCGAGGCATGAGATGGAGAGGGAGGGGGGGGGGAATGGGGAGGGGGGGGCGGGGGAGGCGCAGCAGCAGCAGGAGGGGGTGTCGGTGGGGGTGGGAGGAGGACGAGGAGCAGCGGCGGCAGCACCGTCTCGATCCTCTCGTCCTTGAACTCATCTTCCCGCGGCCGTGTGCCCGCCACCCCCTTCTCCTAAGCCTCCAACTTCTCCCCGTTCCAATCGTCGATCGCCCTCCGCCCCCCTCCTGTCCACCCTCTTCCTCCTGAGCCGTGCCCGCACTCCATCTCTTTCTCTCTCTCCCTCTCTCTTTCCTTCGCTCGTTCTCTATCTCCCTGTCTCCCCCTCTCTCCTCTCCCTCCTCCCAGTCGTTAGCACCCCAAGCATTGCTTGCACTCTGGGGTTCTCGGTCATGCTCTCCGTTCTCGGACGGGCCCGCCGAGGGCTCACCACGCTGCCGCCCGTGGGCGCCGCGTCGGGCGCCCCGTGCGCGGGCTGGGTGGGCCTGCCGGGCTGTGTCGCCACGCGGCCCGCCTCGTGGGCGCCTCGTTGGGCGCCGCGCGCGCCGGGCGGGTCCGTCGATCGCCTTGGCCACGGGGCCGCCCGAGGCCTTCTCGAGGGCGCCTCGTTGGGCGCCGCGCGCGCCGGGCGGGTCCGTCGATCGCCTTGGCCACGGGGCCGCCCGAGGCCTTCTCGTGGGCGCCTCGTTGGGCGCCTCGCGGCCGCCTCGTGGGCGCCTCGCGGGCGCCCCCGTGGGCGGCCGCAGCAGCTCACACAGAGAGAGCGCAGCGGGCAGCCTGCACTGCCTGAAGCTCGCGTGGCATGGCCTGCACCACGGCTGCTGCACCATGCGGCTTGGGCCACGTTCCTCACGCCGCCCAGCTGGCACCCCACAGTTGCCGCCACACAGCTCACGCCACCGGTGTGTGGCACCGCACTGTTTACACCGCCCAGGTTACACCGCACGGCATGCACCGTAGAACTTGCACCACGTAGCTTGCATCACACATGTACTGCACCACGTTTTCTGGGCCACATCGCTGACACATCATGGCTTACACTACATAGCTTGCACCAGAGAGCTCACGCCACATTGTATACATTCTATCGTTGGAAGCATGTTTCCTATATCACGTCACCTGCAGCACATACCTTTCACTGTGTAGCTTACACCGCCTATAGTGCACCACGTGTATTGCACCGCGTAGCCCACACATTCACAGAGCAAACGCTAGCGGTTCGGGGTCCACTCTGGCAAGCATGTTTTGTGACAGTTGGTTGTGTGCGCGCGTGTGTGTGTGTGTGTTCGTTGTTTTGTTTCTCTCCCTCTCTCGCTCTTTCTTTCTCAGTCTCTCTATCTCGCTCTGCCTCTGTCTCTCTCTCTCTCCCTCCCTCCCCTCTTGCTCCCATCCTCTCAGCCCCCCTCTTCGTCCTCCTCCTCCTCGTCCTCCACCCCATCCTCGCTCTCGCAGTCTTCAGTGATCTTCCTCCTCGCCATTATCCCCTCGCCTCCTCTCCCCGCCCTCCTCGCCCTCTCTCCACGTCTCTCCCCCTCCGCCGTACGTCTCAGCTTTGGCCAAAAGCCATGCCGCGCCAGAGCCGCGGCGTGCCCTCGCGGCGTGCCCGAGCGGCGCGACACGGCCGTGCGGCCGCGAGCCGCCCGCACGAGGACGCGGTGGCCAACGTCGTCTCCTGCAGTGCGGTGATCGGGCGCGCACGCCAGAGCCCGGAGCCGACTGCGCACCCCTCCCCCGTCTCCTCCTTCCCCGCCCCCGCTCCTCCCCCCCTCCTGGGGGGCAGGGGCGACCGCCGCCGAGGCGCCGCTGCCAACGCGCAGGCCGTGCCGATGAGGAGCGCACCGCCCTGCGGCGGACCCTCTCGGGGCGCTCCGCGCGGGCGAACCTCGCCGCCACGGGTGCGCTCTCGGCACCAGGCGCGGGCCGCTGGGGGGCCTGCCGGGCGGCCTCCACTGCTCCGTTGCGCGGGCCCACGGGGTCGGACGAGGCGGGGACGGAGGCCGCGGAGTCCCGGAGGAGGGGCACTCCGCCCGGACCTGGCTGCAGCCAGGGCGGCCGCCCTCGACGAGCGCGGCCTGGCCCGCGGCCGCCTCGCGCGGCCTCGCGCGGCCTCGGGGGTGCCAGGGGCCCCCGGGGCGGCGCCCAAGCCGACCGCGGGGCCTGCCCGCGGCGGTGCCGACGGCCGCCCGGCCCACCACCAGCGAGCCGCATGCCCACCGCCGAGCGTGGGTGCTGAGCTCCACCGAGGCGCGGCGGCGCGACCGTGTGCCTGGGCGAGCGCGGGCACGCACGCGAGCGGTGTCTGGGGCGCACTCGCGCGAGCCGAGAGCCCACGGGGCCACGAGCCTGCGCGCGCCCGCCTCGGCCCGCGGGCGCGCCGCGCCAGGGCAGCAGGACCGACGCGTCGGCGCCAGCGTTTTTTTTTTTTTTTTTTTTTTGTGTGTGTGTGTGTGTGGTTAACCTATATAGACATAAAATTAGTATTATTATTATCATTATTGATATGATCATTCGTATTATTATTATTATTATTATTATTACTACTACTGCTAGTATTATTCGTATTGCTATGAATATTATTATGATGATTATTATTACTATTATTATTAATACTATTATAATTGTTATTAGTAGTAGTAGTCGTAGTAGTAGTAGTAGTAGTAGTAGTAGTAGTAGTAGTAGTAGTAGTAGTAGTAGTAGTAGTAGTAGTAGTAGTAGTAGTAGTAGTAGTAGTAGTAGTAGTAGTAGTAGTAGTAGTAGTAGTAGTAGTAGTAGTAGTAGTAGTAGTAGTAGTAGTAGTAGTAGTAGTAGTAGTAGTAGTAGTAGTAGTAGTAGTAGTAGTAGTAGTAGTAGTAGTAGTAGTAGTAGTAGTAGTAGTAGTAGTAGTAGTAGTAGTAGTAGTAGTAGTAGTGGTAGTAGTAGTAGTAGTAGTAGTAGTAGCATTCGTATCATTATTATTACTATTATTTCTGTTTTTGTTGTTTCGATTTTTTTGTCCACGGTCCCAGAGGCGAGCCGGTGCCCCTGCCTCGCGAGAACGGGCGGTGTACGGCAGCAGCAGGCCGACGTGAGGCTGTAGACCGCTGTCTCGCAGATGTCGGCGCCGTGTGCCAGCACCGCGCCCAGCTTGCGCGTCCGCCGACGGCCCCGCCGCCACCTGCGAGCGCGCCGCCGCGGTGGGATCTCTCGCCGAGACACTGGCGACAACCGCGTGGTCACGGTGGAACGGCAGCCACACGCTGAGCTGTTCCACGGCCTCTGCCCGCAGGCAGTGTGGGTCCGGCTCCTGGCGCGCGTGGGCCACTGCTGCCTCTTCGGCGAGGACCCGCGCCTTCTGGACTTGCAGGAGGTTGCAGCCGACGCCGCTGTTTCCCTGTGCGCGCCTTGTCTTGGCACTCCGCGGCAGGGCCGCTCTGCTCTCGCGCCGGGGTAATTAGCGGGGCAGGGCCCTCCCGCTGCCTCCACAGCGTTCTCTGCCGTGCTGATTCATGGCAGAGTCGCGCCGCATCCTGTCCCAGCTGCCCTCCCGAAGGTGCAGTCCGCCCGCCATTGCCGCAGGGCCAGAGCGCCTTGCCGCGGGCAGGAGCGCCCGTGCTGCCCCAGGGCAGACACCCTGGCATTTCCCGCGCCGGCACCCACCGGCCTGAGTGTTGAGCAGGCCAGAGGCGTGCACCTCGGCAGCTCTGACAGGCTCAGTCAGCATCGTGCTGCCTCCTCTCTTTCCCCTTTTTTTCGTGAAAGAACATCCCTGCCCTCCCCTCCTCCCCCGCTTTGGCCGCGCGGGTGCGCGAACGCCTTTCCATTCCCCCAGTCTCCCACGCCCCTGTCGACCTTGACTCGCTTCGCTCCTTCCTCTCCTCACTCCCCCCTGCATGGCGCTGGGCTCTTTTCAAGACGTTGACTGGGGGGTTGGTCACCGACACTAGGCTCAGGAACCCCCAACACGGGTGTCTCCTTGGCTGCGGTGGCGCCCTCGACTCACTCTCCCACTACATAGTCTGCCCCAGACTCGATGCACTCCTGGCTCGGGTCTTGGGCCGCCCTGTCCCTTCGGACATGCTAGCCAGGCTAGCCCTCGTCGGCCAATGCACGGACGCGGCTCGTCTTTTGGTTATGCAGTTCACATGCGCCGCCTTCTCCACTCGGCTCGCCGCCGTGGCCATCCCGGACCGCATTCCGAATTGGACGGGATCGGGATCGCCCGCGCAGCCCGTGCCGCCACCGACCTCGCTCGCGGCCGTCAACGAGCCGCAAGCGTGGCGACCCTGTGGTGACGCAGACGAACTCTTGATGACGCTGGCCCCCTCCTCCTCCTCCTCCTCCTCCTCCTCCTCCTCCTCCTCCTGCTCCTGCTCCTGCTCCTGCTCCTGCTCCTGCTCCTGCTCCTGCTCCTGCTCCTCCTCCTCCTCCTCCTCCTCGCCGCCCTCCCTGCCCTCCGCCTCCTTCCCGCCACCCCCGCCCTCCTCGTCGTCCTGCCTTCCCCCCCCCCACCCCCTGTGGGGGGGTTGCTCGGGGTGAGAGAACGGGCACGCGCCGCTCTCTCCATTCGCCCCGAGGGCTCCTCTCTGTGCACCTCCTCCCGAGCGCCTCCGTCGCGTGCCAGATCCTCCCCGCCCAGGGCGGGGATCAATCGCAATGCCGGCGGCCGAGATATAGAGCCCGTCTGGGCGCGCAGGAGCTCAAGCTCGACTCCGAGGACGGCGAGGGCGTGGCGCACCTGCTCCGCGCGGTGGCAGACGCCAAGGCGACGACGATGAGGAGGAGGAGGAGGAGGAGGAAGAGGAGGAGGAGGAGGAGGAGGAAGACGAATAATAATAATAATAGTAATACTAATAATAATAATAAAAATAATAATAATATTAAGAATACTAATAATCATAACAACAATAATAATAACAATAATAATAATAATACTAACAATAAAAATATTATTATCATTAAGAATAGAATTAATAATAATACTACTACTAATTATTATTATACTAATAGTAATACTAAGAAGACCAATAATAATACACATAAAAAGACTACTAAGAATAACAATAATACTTATACTACTACGAGTAAGAAGAATGACATCACTGCTACTAATACTACTAATAATAATAAGAAAAAGAAGATTACTAGTAATACGACTAATAATAAGAATCGTAATACTAAGAATAAGAATAAGACTAATACTAACAATACTACTAATAATAAGAAGAGGAGGAGGAGGAGGAGGAGGAGGAGGAGGAGGAGGAGGAGGAGGAGGAGGAGGAGGAGGAGGAGGAGGAGAGGAGGAGCAGGACTTGCAGGATTTGCCGAGGAGGAGGAGGAGGAGGAGGAGGAGGAGGAGGAGGAGGCGGAGGCGCAGGAGGAGGAGCAGGTGCAGTAGGAGGAGGAGGAGGAGGAGGAGGAGGAGGAGGAGGAGGAGGAGGAGGAGGGCGGCGAGGAGGAGGAGGAGGAGGAGGAGGAGGAGGAGGAGGAGGAGGAGGAGGAAGCAGGAGGAGGAGTAGGAGCAGGAGCAGGTGCAGTAGTAGGAGGAGGAGGAGGAGGAGGAGGAGGAGGAGGAGGAGGAGGAGGAGGAGGAAGAGGAGGAGGAGGAGGAGAGGAGGAGGAGGAGCACAGCGAGGAGCGAGAAGGAGGAGCACAGCGAGGAGCGAGAAGGAGGGGCAGGATCCTTCTCGTCGTCGTTGCCGTCGTCGTCGTCGTCCTCCTCCTCCTCCTCCTCCTCCTCCTCCTCCTCCGCTCCGCCGCCCAGGTATTTGAAGACGCGCGGCGCTGTTGTAGGTCGTTCGGCGCCAGATATTGTAGGCGAGTCTGCCTCGTGCTAGGTAGATAGAGGCAAGTCTGCCTCCCAGTTTTCTCCATTCCGGGGTGGGCGGCCTGATGTCGTTCCCTGGGCGGCCTTCGTGCCACCCTGCTCGGCACCTGCGGCCAGCCGGCAGGAACACACATGGCCTCCCTGTCTCGCGCGCGAAGGCTCGACCACTTCCTCCCCCCGGGGGCTCCCAAACGGTGCGGTGACCACACCGTGTGGTGAGTCAGTGGGGATGCGGGGTGACCGCACGGTTTTGGGGCTCGGGTCTTTTTTCGAGGATGTCTCAGGCGACTGGAGCGTCCAGGGTCCCAGAACCGTGCGGTGACGGACCGTGTGGTGAGGTCGCTGGTGGTTCCGAGGTCACCGCACGGTCTGTCACCACAATGCTTTGGGACCCCCAATCCCCCCCCGCCCTCGTGCGGAAGCACTGCGAGAGTTCCGCGGGCGCTGGGGGAATTCAGGCGACCGCAGCTCCGCCAGCAGAAGGGTCAGCGGAGGCTTGGAAGGGAGGCGGAACGAGAGAATTTGGTCCTGAGTCCATCGATGTTTCTCCTTTTGCGGGCTCCTGGGCCCCTCTTGAGCCCCAGGATCGTCAAGCACCATTCGGTATGAAGAACGGGTCCATGGGGAAAGCCCACGGGTCCAGAACGCGTTTCCTCCAGGCAGTCGGGATTTCAGAGGGAGGGCGGTCAGTGTTGGCGTCCTCAGGGGTCCCCAGTCGGCTTACAAGAGCCTTCTTTAGACATGTAAAGGGGCTAAATACGGGCGAATGTGGGCTCAGGCAGGGCTCTGGTTTTCGTGCCGCTCCTCGGGCCTACAGGTCGTGGAACCTACTCGTGGCCAAAGCTCGCCGTTGCCAGAACAAGCCCCTGCGTTCCTTTTCCCGTGCCCCCTGTTTTATCGGAGGCCCAGAGGTTGGACACCAGCACCAGTATCGGCGGTGTGCCTCCTCCGAGGGAGGATGATCCCGATCTCGGTGATGCTGGTCATATTCTGGCTTTGTAGGCGGCCGAAAGATTGCCACCTGCACTAAAGTCTAGGATCACCTTCCCCTGGTGGAGGCACCCCCCAGTGTTGGTGTTGGTGCTCATTTCCAAGCCTCCAAGGTGACACGGTGGCACGATGGCCGCAGCTGCGGTGCGCCACCTGCGCGGGAGCATCGCGCTGCTCAGGTGCTGGTCCCGGGCCGTCGGCTCGCGCGCACCGCGGCCCGCAGAGGCCGCGGCGGTGCCCTTCCGTGCTCCTCTCGTTGCCGCCGCGAGCGATCTACGACGGATACGGGCCGCTGGGTGCATGTAGGTGTGGTACCCCCACGCGCGGGCACAGGTTTCACTACGCTGGGCTTCTCAATAAGCGTGGGGGGGTACCCCCGCGACGGGGGTCAACCTCGCCTCGTCGTCGCGCCGCGACGCGGGTCGGAGCGCCTTCGGCGCGCGGCGGCTGCCCGCGACGGGGGTCGATGTGGGGCTGTCGGCGGGGGTGGCGCCTCCCCGACGCTAGTCACGAAACCTGGAGTAGCCTGGACAACGATTCCTCCGTGTCGAGGCTACGGCCTCCACGCCACACCCCAGCCTCCACGCCACACCCCAGCGGGCACGGGCGAGCCCCCCCGAGGAGCTCGCACGTCTCGGGCGCTTGCCTTTGCCTTCGCCCTCGCCGTCGCCTCCTCTTCGGGGCCGCCGCGCCCCCGAGGCGGCGGCTCCGCAGAGGGGCCCAGCAGTCACCCCGCACGTTCGCAGTTCCATCGATGTTGGGCCCGCAGGAGTCCTGCAGCCGCTGCGAGAGGCCATCCGTCTGAGGCTGCGTGCACCAGGGCCCGAGGCGATTGCTTTTTTGGAGCGACAGTCCTGGCCCTCCGGACCGCCATCCCCGTCCTGCACAGCTGGCCATGGTAACGAGCGTCGCCCATGTGCCCCGCTTCATTGGGCGCGCTTCAAGTCTGGGCGTCGATCTGCGATTTGGCCCGAGATCTTTTTGAGCAGCGCCTGCAATTCCCCCTCAAGGGCTTGGCTTTCAACGTGCCTCTCCAAACGGCGCGCCATTCAGGTGAAGGGAATGCCACTTCGATTGTAAGTCACCGACAGAGTCGGACCAGGGAGCACCATGGAGAAGTCCTCCTCGTCACTCTCCTCCTCCTCCTCTTCCTCCTCCTCCTCCTCCTCCTCCTCCGCCTCCGCCTCGTCGCCGCCCCCTCCCTCCGTCTTCAATGCATCGAGGCGACAGGACGGCACCCTCCGGAGGAGGAGGAGGAGGAGGAGAGGGAGGAGGAGGGAGAGGAGGAGGATGAGGAGGAGGATGAGGAGGAGGATGAGGAGGACGAGGAGAAGCAGGGGGATTTTGAGCATGGGGAGTAGGAGTAGGAGGAGGAGGAGGAGGAGGAGGAGGAGGAGGAGGAGGAGGAGGAGGAGGAGGAGGAGGAGGAAGGAGGGGGGACAACGGTGAGGAGGAGGAGGAGGAGGAGGAGGAGGAGGAGGAGGAGGAGGGAGGATGAGGAGGAGGAGAGGAGGAGGAGGGAAGATGAGATGGAGGAGGAGGAGGAGGAGGAGGAGGAGGAGAGGAGGAGGAGGAAGAGGAGGAGGAGGAGGAGGAGGAGGAGGAGGAGGAGGAGGAGAAAACGGAGGAGGATGAGGAGGAGGAAGAAAAAGAGAGGACGATGAAGACGAGGATGCGGAGGAGCAGGAGGATTTTGAGTTTGTGGAGGATGAGAAGGAGGAGAGGGAGGAGGAGGACGACGGTGAGGAGGGGGGGAGGAGGAGGAGGAGGAGGGGGAGGAGGAGGAGGAGAAGGAGGAGGCGGAGGAGGAGGAAGAGGAGGAGGAGGAGGAGGAGGAGGAGGAGGAGAAGAAGGAGGAGGAGGAGGAGTTGGTGAAGAGGAGGAAGAGGATGAGGCTGATGATGCTTATGAGGATGATGATTATGGTGATGCTGGTGTTTCGGATTATGATGCAGATGCTAATGATGTTTATGATGCTGAAGATGATGATACTATTCATGATGATGATGATGCCGATGATGATGATGCTGCTGATGATGATGAAGAAGAGGATGCTGATGCTGATGCTGGTGCGGCTGATGCTGGTGCTGCTGCTGATGATGATGGTGGTTTTTGTGATGCTGCTGCTGATGATGGTGGTGATACGGATGAGGCTGATGATGATGCTGATGCCGCTGATGATTCTGATGATGTTGACACTGATGATGAGGCTACTGGTGCTGCTGATGCTGACGATGAGGATGATGCTGCTGACACTGATTATGTTGATGCTGACGGTGATGATGCCGATGATGATGATGCTGATGCTGATGCTGATGCTGGTGCAAATGATGCTGATGAGGCTGCTGCTGATGATGGTGAAGACGCTCACGATGACGAGGACGACGATGATGCTGATGATGATGATGGTGATGAGGATGATGATGATGCTGATGACGCTGATGATGGTGATGGTGATGGTGAGGATGATGAGGATGCTGATGCTGATGCTGATGCTGCTGATGCTGTTGATGATGATGGTGACGACGAAGATGATGATGATGATGATGCTGATGATGATGATGATGATGATGATGATGATGATGATGATGATGATGATGATGATGATGGTGATGGTGATGGTGCTGGTGATGGTGATGGTGATGGTAATGGTGAGTTTGTTGATGACGATGCTGATGCTGCTGATGATGATGCTGTTGCTGTTGCTGTTGCGGTTGATGACTATGCTGATGATGCTGACGATGAGGAGGAGGAGGAGGAGGAGGAGGAGGAGGAGGAGGAGGAGGAGGAGGAGGAGGAGGAGGATGGGGAGGAGGAATGAGGAGGGGGGGAGGATTAGGAGAATGGAGGAGAGGAGGAGGGAGGAGGAGGAGGAGGAGGAGGAGGAGGAGGAGGAGGAGGCGGAGGAGGAGGAGTAGGAGCAGGAGGAGGAGAAGGAGGAGGCGGAGGAGGAGGAGGAAACAGTATGAGAAGAAGAGGATGTGGAGGAGGAGCAGCAGGAGGAGGAGGAAGACGAGGGTGGATGAGGGTGAAGTAGGGTGGAGGAGGATGGAGGAGGTGGAGAGGAGGAGGCGAGGAGGAGGAGGAGGAGAGGAGGAGGGAGGAGGAGGAGGAGGAGGAGGAGGAGGAGGAGGAGGGGAGGAGAGGAGGAGGAGGAGGAGGCGGAGGACCAGGAGGAGAGGGGTGAGGAGGAGGATGAGGAGGAGAGAAGGAGCTCGAGGAGGAGGAGGAGTAGGAGTAGGAGTAGGAGTAGGAGGAGGAGGAGGAGGAGGAGGGGAGGAGGAGGAGGAGGAGAGGAGGGCGAGGAGGAGGAGGAGAGGACGAGGAGGAGGAGAGGAAGAGGAGGAGGAGGAGGAGGAGAGGGATGAGGAGGTAGAGGAGGAGGATGAGGAGGAGGATGAGGAGGACGAGGAGAAGTATGAGGATTTTGAGAATGGGGAGTAGGAGAAGGAGGAGGAGGAGCAGGAGGAGGAGGAGGAGGAGGAGGAGGAGGAGAAGGAGCTCGAGGAGGAGGAGGAGGAGGAGGAAGAGGAGTTGGACGAGGAGGAGGAGGAGGAGGAGGACGAGGAGGAGGAGGAGGAAGAGGAGGAGGGGGAGGACCAGTGCAAACCCAAGAGCCGTCCAAGCTCCCTCTTCACAGGCCACTGCAACGGTTCATTCCCGCAGAGGGAACTGCCTCGTTAGAAGACAACCGTTTGAAGACCCTGAAGCATGCCAAACAATTGTTCTCGGGCTTCCAGCGCCACGAATCAACCTGACTGTTGCGTCTTGACGATCCAGAATCGCGCCAGAACGCCATTCATGGGAGTTCATCGCCGCGAATTAACGTTATTGTTGCACTCTCATAATCCTGATTCCTTCCAAAACGCCATTTTTGGTACGTTGATCATGGGAATCCGTGAAACTCTTGTAGTTTGTCGAAACGAATGTGCGCGGCGCGCAAGCGAGAGCCACATTCTGCAACGGAACCGCCATCAATCCGGGAAACTCTTGCAAATGTGTGAATCGAATGCGCGCGACGATAAGGCGAGAGCCACATTTTGAAAACGGGTCGCCCTCAGACCGTGAAACTCTTGCAAATGTTTAAATCGAATGTGCGCGGCGCTAAGGCGAGAGCCACATTTTGAAAACGGGTCGCCCTCAGTCCGTGAAACCTTTGCAAATTTCTAAAACGAATGCGCGCGGCGCTAAGGCGAGAGCCACATTTTGACAACGACCCGCCCTCTATCTGTGAAGCTCTTGCTTATGTTTAAGCTTCAGGGTCATCAGTGATGGGGAAGTCTCAGGTGAAGCGCCCAGCCCGCCCTAATTATAGCCGGAGTGCAGTATCCCCAAACAGGGTTTTTAAACCCACTGCGGTTTCCAAGGTCGATTGCGTGCCCGTCCAGTGCGGGCTGGCATGGCATGTTACAACATGACAACGTGATGATTGCACATGAGATGTTTACACGAAAACTTGAGTGACGCATGCCTATCAGGAAGCTAACGCTAGAGGGTGTCGTCCTCTCTCGCACCTGGTCTCGGGCGAAACGTGTTGCGAGGAAGTCTCAGGCGAAACGGGCCGGACCACCTCAAGCGCGGCGTCTCAGAGCTCCGAGTTGCGGGGGGGCTCCTGGGGGCTCCCAGGGGGGGATATCTGACATGTGGCCGTCTGGGCCCCCCAAAATGGGAGGCCACAAGAGCAGGAAAAATCAACGAATCGACACCGGATGTGTATTAACTTGGCACGTTCTTACAGGGAACCTCCTGGAGCCTCCTGGGAGCCTCCTGGGAATCTCCTGGGGGCCCCTGGGGCCTGTCCTAAGCGTCCTGCGGCCTCCTGAAGCTCTTTGGGGCCTCCTGGGGCTCCCAGGGGGGATATGTAACATGTGGCTTTCTGGGCCCCCCAGGCTGGACCACCTCTTGCGCGGCATCTGGGAGCTCAGAGTTGTGAGAATGTCTTGTGCGAAACGGGCCCGACCACCTTGCGCACGGCATCTCAGAGCTCAGAGTTGCGAGAATGTCTCAGGCGAGACGGGCCAGACCACCTCTCGCAGGCATCTCAGAGCTCAGAGTTGCGAGGATGTCTCAAGCGAAACGGGCTGGACCACGTTGCGCGCGGCATCTCCGAGGTCGGAGTTGCGAGAATGTCTCAAGCGAAATGGGCTGGACCACCTCTTGCGCGGCAGCTCAGAGCTCAGAGTTTCGAGGATGTCTTAGGCGAAACGGGCCGGACCACCTCTTGCGCGGCATCTGGGATCTTAGAGTTTCGAGGACGTCTCAGACGAAACGGGCTGGACCACCTCTCGCGCGGCATCTCGGAATGCAAAAATGCGAAGATGTCTCAAGTGAAACGGGCTGGACCACCTCTTGGGCGGCACCTCGGAGCTCAGAGTTTGGAGGACGCGTCAAGCGAAACTGGCTGGACCACCTCTCGCGCGGCATCAGAGAGCGCAGAGTTGCGAGAATGTCTTAAGCAAAACAGGCAGGACCACCTCGCGCACGGCATATCAGAGCTCAGAGTTTGGAGGATGTCTCAGTCGAAACGGGCCAGACCACCTCTTGCGCGGCAGCTCGGAGCCCAGAGTTGGGAGGATGTCTCAGGCGAAGTGGGCAGGACCACCTCTTGCGCGGCATCTCAGAACTCAGAGTTTGGAGGATGTCTCAGGCGAAACGCGCCAGACCACCTTGCGCAAGGCATCTCAGAGCTCAGAGCTTGGAGGATGTCTCAGGCGATGTGGGCCGGACCACCTCTCGCGCGGCAGCTGGGAGCTCAGAGTTCGGAGGATGTCTCACGCGAAACGCCCGATCCCGGACAACTGAGTTGCGAGGATGTCTCAGGCGAAACGGCCCGGACCACCAAATTTTTGTGAGGACGTCTCTGCCTTGATTTCCTTCGGCAAGAGTTAGCTTCTATCACAACAGCACCCCGCTCAGCAAGCTGTTTGGGGAGAAACTGGCTTTGGGGTGCGACAGGATGCAATTATTCATAAGAAGAAGGAATGGAGGAGGAGGAGGAGGAGGAGGAGGAGGAGGAGGAGGAGGAGGAGGAGGAGGAGGAGGAGGAGGAGGAGGAGGAGGAAGTGGAAGGAGCAGGCAGGAGCAGGAAGCAGGAGGAGCGGGGGTTGTGGCCAGGGGCCTCTGGAGGGCGGGCGCCCTCCCGGCAGAGAAGGCGATGCTGGCGCAGGGAGAGGCCGGCGAAGACGCGGGTGGGCCCGCGCCGGCGCAGCGCGCGGCCATGCTCACCATGTTCGACAAGGCCCCGCCGGCTTCCCAGTGCCCGCGCCGTGCGGGTGCTGCCAGAAGTGCCCCTGGCCCAAAGGGTGCCCCCCAGGACTTCCAAGGAGGCCCCCACGGCCTCCCCAGGGCGCCCCGCGCGCGGTCCGGGGGGCCCCATGGGGCTCCACAGGGGAGCGAACGGCGGGGGGGCCTTGGGCCAGGAGAACCTTCAGCAGCCCCCGACCCGTGCGGGCTCGCCCTCGGTCGAAGACGAGAGCAAACTGCATCAGCATACACTCTTGGAGCTCCGCGTGGATTTCTTGGATCGGCGCTGGGCCTCCGCGCGCCAGGGTGGGCCCAGTGCCGATCCAAGAAATCCGTGCGGAGCTCCAACTCTGTATGCTTACACTGTTTTTTCGTTCCTCTACTCAGTGATCGGATGCGCTTAAGAGTGACCTTTTGCCGGAGTGGCCTTCGGTGCGGGCCCACGTGGGTCCCCTCGGCACCAGCTTGCGCGCTTAGGTCGGGCCCCTGCGCGGCCCCCTCGAGCCTAGAGCCACGCACCAAAGGCCACTCCTGCTCAGGGTCACGCTTGCCTGTGGGCGAGGCGGACCCCAGGCCTCCGAGAAGCGGGGCCGGAGCGGGCGGGGTCGGGGGACCCCGCCGCATGGCCGATGCATGGGCGATGCGACTCGATGTGGAGCCCGACTTTCTCCGCGCCGACGGCGGCGCCGATGCATCGGCGATGCGGCGCGATCCCCCGAGGAGTGGTCATGATCTTTGGCCCCTGCAGACGGGCGTTCCGAAATACGTCTGGGCCGCAGTCTTCGGAGCCAGAGCGGCTCCTTCCTCCTGCTCCTTGTCCGCCTTCCTCCTCCTCCTTGATTGCGCTCACCAGGCTGTGAGCGACGGAACTCGATGCGTTTGAAGCCTCCTCCCCTCCTCCGCCTCCTCCCCTCCTCCGTAGGAGGGGGATGGGGACCCCACCCCCAGCGGGGGATGGGGATCCCCCATCCCCCTCCTACGACACGCCAGCCCCCCCCCCCATCCCCAAGGGGGGGTGGGGATGCACGCCAGCACCCCTCCCGGCGACTCGCGGAGAAGGCGCCGCGCCACCCCCGGAGGGTGCGGGGCCACGGGCGGCACCGGAGGCCGGCAGCGGTGGCGTGTCTGCGCCGTGGCCGCGGGGAGCCCTTCCGGCGGGTCTCTCGCCGGGGCCCCCAGCTGGGCAGCGAGCAGCCAGGCGGGCATGCCTCGTCGTGAGAGGTATCGCATGCCAGAGAGAAGCCCCAATCAGTGGATGGCTGGAGCAGGATTGATGATGGTAGGATCGATGGCGAGGTCGAAGGTGGGGCATCGACAGTGAGGACGATCGTGAGGCCGATCGTGAGACCGATAGTGAGGTCGATGCAGTGAGATCGAGAGTGAGGTCGATCGTGAGATCGCTCGTGCGATCTATAGTTAGATCGATTGTGAGATCGAGAGTCAGATCGATAGTGAGATCGATAGAGAGGTGGGTAATGAGATCGATGGTAAGACCGATCGATAAGGAGATCGACCACGAACTCTGGAACCCGGAAACCTGGGAACCCCGCCGCCCAGCGAAATCGGCCTGGAACCCGGAACCAGAAATTTTGGGAACCTGGAACCGGGAACTTGAGAACCCAGCGGCCCACCGAAATCGGCCGCCCACTTCCGCCAAATCCTTCAAGATCAGCTAGGACCCCGTCAGTGCAAGCACCGATTGGGGAACGGTCGAGCATGATCAAGAAACCTCCCCCGAGAAGCTGGGTCAGCATTTCTTGACCAACTTGTTGGAAAGCTGGCTCAGGTTCTTGAGCACGCTCGCCCCCTCCAGAGTGAATAGCAGAATGTTGCCCAGGCTTGCTTTACGACACTTCCGTGAAGCTGGCCCAGATTTCTAAAAGGATGATTTTTTGGTCATGTTGTCGGCTGTAGGGCGGTGAGGGTGGCTACTTCATTGGGACTGGTGATTGCGCGACGGCTGGCGGCGACATTGGTGAACCCTAGGCCCGTCGCGGCGCCGCGCAACATTCGTGACCCTTAGGCCCGTCGCCCGTTCTACACCCCAGAGGCCAGGATCAGGAGTGCGGTGCCGAGTTGGGCATACAGGCCCTGGCACGCGAACGTGCTTCGCGCCCTGATTGTGATGTGGGAAGGGGCGGCTAGTGGAATGGGCCGGGGCTGCAGGCGACGCGTGAGACGCACAAGTCCAGAACCGACCACGAAGCATGGCGAAGCTTGGCGAAGGAGAAGGGAGAGGCAAGGGAGATATGGAAAACGTGTGGTAAGAGGAAAGGAAAGGAGGTAAGGCGGGCGCTGTGCTGCCAACGCTGGTTTTGTCATTGGCGCTGGGATGCTGCGTGCTTGCTGTATCGAGCGATGTAGATCCCGCACTTGGGGTTGTGATTGCTTGCGGGGGCCAGGGAGGTTGGATTGGTGCCTCAAGCTGCATGCTGCTGCTTGCTACGCGTGCGGGGCTGGTTGCGGTGACGTCTACATGGCCGGCTGGAGGTTCTCACACCCTGCGTCGGAGTCTGTATCATAATGTGTTAAGAGGGGGCGAAGCGTTCTGGCTTGCCTATAGGCCCACCAAAGAATGTTCTAATAACCTTCTGTGGTCTGCACGGGATGTTCTTAGAACATTTCTGGCCAAGTCTGTCTTGTTTTAGCACGTCGGGGTAATGGTCTAAGAGCATTGCTCTTGCTTTTGGCACATTTTTGGGGCTAAGAGCATGTCGTGGTAGGCCGATAGGAATGCCGGGACGGTCGGTCCCTGCTCACATGTGGGCTCGACGGTGCTGCAGGCCACGGCCACCCTGGCCCCAGCCAGGGGCAGCCTGTGGCCTGAGCGTGCCCGACCCGTCCCCTCCACCACACGAGTGGGGGCCGAGAAGGTCGGAGGGGGGGGGGGAGGCGAAGGCAAGCCGGATGCGGGAAGAGGGCCGGATGCGGGAAGAGGGCGTGCCAGGAGGGGGGAGAAGCTTGGGCGAGAGGTGCTCACGGTGGGGAGTGGTTCCTAAGGATGATCATGCAATGGGTGGAGAGGGATGACTAGTGTCCTCCGCTCGCGCCAGCGTGCTGATTCTTTCTGTGCGGCGAGAGTGACTCGAAGTAGCGCTGCGCGCCCATTTCCTGCATGAGGCCTGGAGACTGCATGATGGTGCGCCGTTCGTCCTCGTCAGTTGAATCCTCGAGTCGTTCTCCGAGGTCTTGGACGAAGATCTGTCAGGTCTGTGGGGGGGACGCCTCACTGGGCTCCGCGGAGTCTGCTACTGCGCGCGCTGTTTGTCGCGTCTGCGGCCATGCCGAGATGGAGGCTTCTTGTGGGAGGCGACGTCCACGGAGTCGGCGGGCTGGTCGATGCCCTCGATTGAAAATTCCATGCCCCAGGCGCACGCTGTCGATTCCTGGAGCTCCGCGTCCTTTCGTCCTTGACGCCGTTTGGCATGCATATTGGAAGGGCCGTTTCCCAGTGGAAATCCCGCGGCCCCCCCTCGGACGATAGCTCGAACGAGGTGCCGTGCTCGAGGCTGACGTGGGCGCTGGCGTCGGCAATGGTCTCGGCGCCGGTGCCCTCCTGGTCGGCCTCCTTCTCGTGCCAGTCCTCCGGCTGGTTGCGGGAACGAGCGTCTGAAATACCTATCGGGGGGGGGGGCGTTTCCCGCTGGAAATCCCGCGGCCCCCCCTCGAATGATGGCTCGAGTGTTGTGCCGTGCTGGAGGCTGGCGTGGACGCTGGTGTCGGCGATGGTGTCGGCGCTGGCGTCCGCCGTGGCGTTGCCGTGGGTGCTGGCTTGGGCGGTGGTTTCGGCAGTTGTGTGGGCGTTGGTGTCGGCGGTGATGGAGCCGCTGCGGCCGCCCCCTCAAGTGTCTCCTTGGTGTGGTAGGCCATAGTCGTGACCCTCAGCGCCTGTCCCAGAGGACGAGTCGATCCAGTCTGGTGCTCTATGATGTTCGTGTGCCGCGGCTCGCCTCAGCGCGCTGCCTGTTCGTGGCCTCCCGAGTGCCCCCAGGGTTCCCCAGGATGCTGGAGCCCCTGGAGACATGGGCTCTTGGGCAGCGCGCTGGGCCGCCACGGCCATACCGGCGGGCACGAACTTCTCCGCCGTCGGGTTCAATTTGGAACTTTGTGTTGGTGCCAGCGTTGACGCGGTCGGTGGTGCTGGCGACGACGGTGGCGCTGGTGATGTGCTGCCTGTTGCCGACGCCGATGATGCCAGCAGTGCCGCTGGCCGACGGCGGGCGTCGCGTCCTGGCAGCGTGGGCCAGACGGCCCCCGCGGCCGGGTGCTGGCCTCGCCGGCAGCGATCGCGGGCGTGTCTCCTGAGAGTGTGGGTCTCGTGGCCGTCCGCGGCGTGCCTGGCGGGGGAGGCGGTGGCGATGGCGTGCAGGTGCTTCGCGGGCGCTGCGGCCGCCATAGCGCGCCGCCGCCGCCGCGCTCGTCGCCGCCGGCAAGGGCCCGGCGGGCCCACTCCCCAGGCGCGGGGGGATGTCCTTGCATGTGTCGACTCTCCTCCTCCTCCGCCTCCCTCCTCTTCCCTCCCTCCTCCCTCCTCCTCCCCCTCCTCCTCCTCCTCCTCCTCCTTCTCCTCCTCCTCCTCCTCCTCCTCCTCCTACTACTCCTCTTCTCTCTCTCTCTCTCGCAGCGCCACACAGGCGATCCCTGATCCGCCGCCGCGCTGCTCGAGCGCCCCGCGCGGGCACCTGGCTAGCCACGGCAGCGGTACCCTCGGTCGCCGCCGAGAGTACGCTCCCAGAGGGAGGAATGAGAGGGGCGGGATCACCATACTCTAGATTGGTAGTATAGTAATGGGAGGAAGGAGTGGCCCCTGGAGCTTGCCGTCGAAACGGTCGGGCACATGAGCTTCGAGTCAGTCGTAGACATCAGCTCGAGGATCGGCAAGCTACGAGTCTGAAGAGTCTACCGCGTGTCTACTGCTCGTACGCCCTAAGCCTGGACGACGGCCCGGTAGAAGGTGGGAGGAGGTCGCGAACATCGCGAGGAGAAAGTAGAGGTTCTGGCCCCGCTCGGCACGCGGTCGTGATGTACAGCACGAGGACCGCAGGGTATAGCACGCTGTTGCTGGCCAACCTTGTTCTCGCTGGAGCAATCGTTGAGTGCCCGCTCCGTGTCTCGGATCTTGTCGCACCGGTCTCGTACTCGTCGCGCGTGTTGTGGCCATTGTGGTAGGTGGCCTCGATCGTGTTCATGCGGAGCTGGTACTCCCTCTGCCACCTCCCACGGGTGTGGCCATTAGCTCTCTGCATTTCGCAGCCTGGTTCTGCGGCACGTCGCAACGCTCCTCCTCCTCCTCCTCCTCCTCCTCCTCCTACTCCTACTCGTCCTCCTCCTCCTCCTTCTCCTCCTCCTCCTCCTCCTCCTCCTCCTCCTCGACCACCAGCACGTCCTCCGCGTCCTGGCCGTACGATTCCGACGCCTCCTGCACATCGTACACGTCGTGCGGTGAGTCCTCCGCGTCCTGCTGCCTCTCCCCCTCGTCCTGCGGCATGTCCTGCGGCACATCGTAACGCACCTCCTCGTCGCAGCGCCCCCTCCCGTACAGCCACGTCTTGCGGCACGTCGTACCGCTCGCGAACGTCCTCCACGACTTGCGCCACGTCCACCACTTCCTCGTAGCCCAGTCTTCCGAAAACATACGAGTAGCGATCGCATATCAGTGATGTTAGCATCAGGTGGTCTAGTCGTACGCTTCGCTCACCTCGTCTGGGCTGCGCTCGTGGGTCATGGGGTTTGGTGGTGCCACCTCCGCGGGATCTTCGAACTCCTCTTGGTAGCACTCGTCGATGGATGCGGTAGCCGACGGCGCCTTGCTGACACGTGGCGTCTCGCGCCTCTCTGCTACGGATCGGCTGCTTCGGATCCTAGCCTCGATCTTCCTTCTCATATCTCCGCTGTGCTATTCCTCTTCTCATCCTTGTCTGGCTGTCTTGAGGACCTGCTCGGTGTCATGGAGGGCCTCTGGCAGTCTTCCCATCTTGTAGTGGACCTCGGCCGCCAGTGCTGTGCTCTGACGTGCTGGCTGTTGAGGCGGAGGGCTTCCGTGCAGTCAGACTCCGTCTGGGCCCATTTCCGCAGAAAAAGGTGGGCCTATGCACGGGTGTCTATACAAAACCGCCTTCAGCGCTGTGGTAACGACAGCTGGGCTTCTGGATGCAAGCCGTATGGCCGCGGAGTAATAGGCGGCAGCCTCGTGAAAAGATTCGGTGTTGAGGAGGTCCTGTCCCCTCCTGCCAGCCTCCACAACTCTTTTACTGGTCATGTTTGCTTTCTTGGTCTCCTCCGTTTTCCAGGCCTCGCCTTCATCCATCACTTCATCGTGCTTCTCTTGTACGTAGATCGCCAGGCTCGGCATGATGATCATTGGGCAACACGCTCTCCTTGTTCTCCCTTCAGCGCCTTATCCATCTTACCAGGCTGGAAGTCCCCAGCGGTCAGCGCCGCCGCGGCCGCGTCCGTCGCGCGACTAGTTGGCCGCTCTGCGCACGAGCCTGCGCGCGCTAGCGCGGCCACAGCGATGCGCCAACTAGCGCCAAGCAGTCATCGCAATCGCCCCCGCGTGGGTGTTGCAAACCAAGTTGTGCGTGGGTGGGTGGGATGATTGCGCGTCCAGTGGAGTTGACAATCCACGGCGAACGAACATTACTTGCACAACATAGAGTGCTCCACCTAGATTGCACATGCTGCTAGGAGCATGCTGTTGAGGTCCACGTTGGCTAACTTTGTTGCTGAAGAGGGAGAGAGAGAGAGAGAGACAAAACAAACAAACAGCACAAACAACACAACAACACACATATCACATGACATACGCCGTGGTAGCAGTAGTTCCCGACGCATTGCCACCATTGCGGCCGTACTGTCAGGAAGTTCTAATGGTGCGTGTGCGGTGCACGAGTCCGAGAGAATCTACTCCATCAGGGTCGGGCGGCTTCGGATGATCCAGGTGGTCGGTTTGGGGGGCTTTGGGAAGACCTGGTCGGTTAGGCAAGATTCGGGCAATTGGTTTTGAAAGACCCAGTCGGTTTGGGAAGGCCTGGGCGGTCAGTTTGGAAGAACCTGGTCGGTTTTGAAGACCCTTGGGGGTTGGTTTGTGCAGACCCGGTCGGTTTGGGAAGAATTGGCCGGTCGGTTTGGAAAGACCCAGTTGGATTGAGAAGACCCGGGCAGTCGATTTGGGCAAACTCGTGCGGTTTGGGAAGTCTTTGTTTGGCGGTTTGGGAAGATTTGGGTGGTCGGTTTGGGAAGACCTGGTCGATCGGTTTGTGAAGATCCGGTCGGTTTGCGGAAGTCTCCGTCGGTCTGGGAATGCCAGGCTTAGGTTGTTTGGGAAGCCCCAGTCGGTTTGGGAACCCCCAGTCTGGACCACGCACGTCTGCGAAGATTCGGTCCCTAGCATCCAGTTTGGCAAAGCCCGCTTGGTTTGGGTCACATCCCCCCCCCTCGGCATCGCTCGGACGTGTTTTTTTGTTTTTTTTCTCGGCGAGAACCATCGAGGACCATCCTGGACCATCGAGTAAAAAAAACACGCACGGCACCGAAACATGCACGGGAAATGGACGTCCGAGCGACGGCAAGCCCCCCCCCCCCACACACACGCCGGGACGCTCCTCTTTGCTCCTCTGCCTCCGTCTCTCCCCTCTCCCGGGTCACCCGCAGGGGCGCGAGGATTGTCGTGCCTCTCCGCTTCGCGGTCTGGGTCGGAGAGCTGCCCCTCTCTGGGGCAGGCCCGCCGGGAGAGGGAGGGGCTGGCTGCCCTCGGGCATCGCTCGGGCGTGGGCTTTTTTTTTCCTGGCGAGGGCCCTCTTTTTTTCACCGAGGACGCGCCGTAACCTGGGAAAACGCCCCTGCCAGAAACGCTCTACGTGAGGAGGAGGAGGAGGAGGAGGAGGAGGAGGAGGATGAGGAGGAGAAGGAGGAGACGGAGAGGAGGGAGGAGGAGGAGGGAGGAGGAGGAGGAGGAGGAGGAGGAGGAGGAGGAGGAGGACGAGGATATGGCCCTGCTCTCTTCGCGCGGGCGCGAGGGACGCCCCTTGCCCGCGGCCCCTCGCGGTCTGGACTGCTCGGCCGCTAGCCCCCGCGGCCGCGGGGGCGGCCTGGCGCGGCGGCCCTGCGCGGAGCGCAGCCATCAGATCGCGCGCCGTCGGACCGAGGTGCAGGATCGAGAGCGGCTCGGGGAGGGTACCCTGCTCTGACTCAGCTGCCTCGATACGCACGTTTTGATACGCAACAAGTGCCGTACTCAAGACGTCCGTGCCAACACGTTGCGTGTCGGCTCCACGTGTATTGGACCACGTTTTGGCGAGTGTATCGCGGTCGGGCCCACGTATTCAGGATACGTGTTGAGCTACGTATCAAGACGCTACGTGTTGCGTGTTGCGTATCGGGGCGGCTCAGTACTTTGAGTTTCTTACCAAGCGTGAGGGGGACGTCACCCCGCCGACAGCCCCACATCGACCCCCGTCGCGGGTAGCCACCGCGCGCAGAAGGCGCTCCGACCCCCGTCGCGGCGCGACGAGGAGGCGAGGTTGATCGCCGTCGGGGGGTACCCCCCACGCTTATTAAGAAACCCAGAGTCATGTTCTTTGTGCTTGCTGGATGCTCTTGTGCATCCTGGGGGGGTATACTTGCATCCTTCGGAGCGCAGCCAGCAGACCGCGTACCGTCGGGCCGAGGTACAAGACTCTGGGCCTCCTAGATGGGGTCCAAATAGGTGGGGTCGGAGGATCGCGCCGCATTGCCGATGCATCGACGATGCGGCTCGATGTGGAGACCGATCTGCGTCACGTCGACGTCGCCGATGCATCGCCGACGTCGCCGATGCGTCGCCGGTGCATCACCGATGCATCGCCGATGCATCGCCGATATATCGGCGATGCGGCGCGATCCTCCGACCCCATCTACTCCGTTCCGACCCCATCTAGGAGGCCTCTAAAGATCGAGAGCGGCTCGGGGAGGGTACCCTGACGTTCTTCGTGCTTGCTGGATGTCCTTGTGCAACCTGGGGAGGGTATCCTTGGATGTTCTGTGTGTGTGTGTGTATGTGCGTGTTGGCCGGCGGGGGGTCTCGTGCTCTTGGAGGATGTGCTTCTGTCGTAGGTCCGACCTTACCCATGGGTGCTGCGGCGCGATGTCCCTATCGCGACGGCATGGGCCTGGGGTATGCTTAAGTGGGGCACGTCCCTCTACAGGAGGAGTGTTCAAACATAGTAAGACAAGGGAAGATTTGTTGACTATTTTTCGTCAATTTTTAGGAGTACGTTTCTGTCTGTGTTTAATCTTTCGTCGAACATTCCCCTGTGGGAGGACATGCCCGACCTGAGGATGTGCTCGTCGCTCGTGACCTCTTGGAAGGCGGGCCTGCGCCAAAAGCGGGCCCGCGGACGGGTGGGTCGGCGGCCGGCCCGGGAGGTCGTCCGGGCCCTCGACCAGAGCGAGAGGCGCCTCCCCGCGGGGAGGTCTGGACGCCCGAAATGGGTACGGAGAGAATGGGTACGGTGCCCCAGCAGCAGTTCCTGTTCACTTTGAACAGGATTCGCTGTCCACGCCGCCGCGGCCTGTGTTCATTCGAGGCAGGAGGCCGCCTGCCCAACAGCGGCCGCTGTTGGTTTGGGACAGCATTTGCTGTTGGGCATTGTACCCATTTTTTCCGTACCCATTTCGGGCGTCCAAAAGGAGGAGGGACGGGGGGAGAAGGGAGTGGTCAGTGACGAGGGAAGAGCGGGCGAGGAAGGGGAAGGAGGGAGGGATGCAGGGCATGCTCCCGCATGCAGCAGCCCGCCCGATGGACACTGGGCCTGAGATGGGTCGGGTGCTGGGGTCGGGGAAGCAGAGGGAGCCATGGGATTTGGAGAAAAAGTGGGAGGGGCACGGGAGCAGGGGGAGGAGGGTTGGGGCCGCGGCAGGGGGAGCAGGGGGAGGAGGGAGGGACGGGGAGGGACGAGGAGAGAAGGAGGGAGGGCAAGGGGGAGAAGGAGGGGAGCAGGAGGAAAGATGAGGGAGGGAGGGATGAGGAAGGACGAGGAGCAGCAGGAGGAGATGGAGGATGATAATTCAAGTTAGCCAGGGATGAGGATGAGGAGGAGGAGGAGGAGGAGGAGGAGGAGGAGGAGGAGGAGGAGAAGGATGAGGATGAGGAGGAGTAGAGGATATGGAAGAGCTACGCCCCGCGCCGCAGAACTGGAGGCTGTGTCATGTCATGGCCTTTGCTTTGAGCGCGCGGTAACAACATAACAAGGACTACATCGCCTTTCTCCATTGGCGGAAACGAAAATCAATCATCATGATGTTCCGCATTTCGGTTGTTCGCGCTCGCGGTGCTACGAGTCTATTTCACCCCTGTTGGTTGGGGTTTCGGATTTGCTTCGAGATATCCCCCGCGCTCGTGACATGAAGCGCCGGCGCACGCGCCAAGCGACCAGGCGGCCTGGCCCGAGAAAGCGTGTGGATACACACGGCGTGTTGCGGCCGCTTGGGCCAGAAGGTCAGCGCGAGTTGCGGCAGGCAGGCGGGACAGGTCTGGAGCAGCGCATTTCGCTCGCTCGCCTCCTCGACGCTCCCGTTTTTCTCGGCCTCCTGGCGCGTCCCGCAGGCGTCGACCGCCCCCGCCCCCGCCAGGGGCGCCTGTCCGAGAGAGCCCCGCCGCGCCGGGAGGCGCTGCCCCCCACGACTCCTCCCCGCGCCTCTTGCTCCGTCGCGGGGCTCCTCCCCCCCCCCGCCCATAGCCGAGGTTGGGCGGTCGTGCAGGCAGGCGCCTCCGCTCTGGGGCGCTGGCCCGCCGACCCCGTGTGGGGCGGGGGCGCGCAGAGAGGGGGGGGGGCGACAGATGGGGGGGGGGGGGGCAGCGAGGGCTGCCGAACTGCCGAAGAGAGGCCCTTTGAGGGTCCCCCAGGGCCCAGGGGAGCCCCCTCTGGCCCAGAGGGGGGCCTCCAGGCCCCACACAGGGCACCCGCCTTCCCCCTCCGATCGATCGCCCCCCCAATGGTTTTCGCGCCCAGCACCGGCTGCGTTGGCCCATGGGCCCTGGGGGTGGCGACGCTCGCGGTGGGGCGGTGATGGCCCCGAGGGGCACGAGCAGTCCAACGAGGAGTCCCCGCCCCGCGACTCCTCCTCGGCGCTGCTTCCCCGGGGCCGTGTCAGATGTCCCATCCGACGGCTCGTTTCGATCGAGCGTTTGGATCTGTGTTGCTCGGGGTGTGCTAACGGTGCCCCTGGCCCCAAGGGGCCCCCAGCTTTTCGCTCCCTGTTGGAGCCCCTGGGACCCTGGACCTCGTGAGGGGTGCTCTGGAGGCCGTGGGGGGCCTCCTTGGAAATCCTGGCGGCACCTCAGGGCCAGGGGCACTTCCAGCAACACCCGAGCACCCCTCCCCCAAGCGCGCGGAGGCTCCGGGGGCGGTGCCAGAATCGCAGATCATGGGCGCTGGGGAAATGCGGCGTGCGGCGCCGAATCCGGGGAGTCCGCGCGAACTTCCGACGGCTTCTGTGTCTGTGCCGCTGTGTTTTGGCTTCGGTCTCGGAGATGTCGCGGCTCGGGCCACTTTGTACCAACACCCGACCTCTCGATCGTGCGTTCGGACCTGCTTGCAGCGATGCGCTCGTCCTGCGGGTCCTGCGCCGAGGCTGCTGTCGCTAGGCGAGGCCGAGGGCTGTCGCGCCTGGACCGCGAGCGCGCGCGGAGGGCCTCGGCGATCGGTGCGCGGATCCGCCGCGTCCGCAGGACGGCGCGACCAGCGGAGCAAAGACGAGGGCGCGGGCGCCCTGGGGTGGCCCTAGCAAACAGGTCCGAACGCTCGATCGAACGGAGCTTTCGGACGGGACATCTGACACGGCCTCGGGGAAGCAGCGCCGAGAAGGAGTCGCGGAGCGGGGACTGCTCATTGGATTGCTCATGCGGCGGAAGGCCCCTCGGGGCCATGACCGCCCCACCGCGAGCGCCGCCACCCCGAGGGGGGGCGATGGCGGATGCGCTGGCGAGTGACAAGCGGGTCACCGTCGGGAGCCTTGAGACGGGGGTCAATGCAAACGGGGGTCAGCCAGGGTTCCGGATCTTGCAGGATCCTGCAGGGCCAGGGGTGCACCGACCCAGGCTTGCGCGCAGGATCTTGCAGGATCCTGGAGGATCTTGCGGGACCCTGCGAAGCTTGACTGACCGGGTTTGCGCTGACCCGGGTCGGGGTGTTCCCGACACCGAGGGCGAGCGCTACGAGGCGGCGAGGAAAAATGCGGAGCCGAACGCGGCGGGCGGCCGCTCCTGGTCGCAGCCCTTGATGGCGTCCACGACGCGGGGAAGCCGGGCATGTTGCGTCAGGGGGGGGCGATTGCACGGGGGGGTGAGGACGGGTGTGATTTTTTTGTTCTGGACGCCCGATATGGGTACGGAAAGAATGGGTACGATGCCCAGCAGCAGTTCTTGTTCATTTTGAACAGGACTCGCTGTCCGCGCAGCCGCGGCCTGTGTCCATTTGGGACAGGAGGCCGCCTGCCCAACAGCGGCCGCTGTTGGTTTGGGACAACACTTGTTGTTGGGCATTTTACCCATTCTTTCCGTGCCCATTTCGGGCGTCTAAGTTTGTGCCTTGAAGGGGCGCCCCAGGGCCCAAAAGGGCACGAGGGGTGCACATGTCTCCCCCCCCCTTGGCTGTCTCCCCCCCGCCCCCCATGAAGCAACGCCCGAGGCAGGCGCGGGAGGCGGGCGTTGGCCGGCTGTGTCGCCTGTCCCTGTGTGGCTCTCGGGCCTCGGTCCTGCTCGCTCCGCCCCTCCGCCGCTCGTGCCCGCTCCGGCTCTCGCCGCGTTCGGTCTCGGGCGCTTGCCGTTCCCCCCCTCGTCGCCGTGCGACTGCCCGAGGGTCAGCGCTAGGCTCGAGTCAGCCCACGTCCAAAGCCAAAGAGGTGGAGCTCGTCTTCTGATCCACTGCGTTGCCGATCGGCGCGGGCCCTCGTACCCCCCCCCCTGCCCCCCCCCCGGCGGAGTATCGATCCTGTCCGTGTTCGGCGCCCGCTTCGAGCAGGCGGAGCCTCCCCCAGAGGACGCACGGCCGCAACCAGCCGCGCTGAGCAGAGCTCCGGAGCCAGACTCCGCCCCTGGCCCCTCCCTCTTACGCCCACTGTCGACACACCGCAGAAGAGAACGCTCGCCTTCGAGTTCGCAGATGTGCGCGCTCCTCGCCGCGGGCGCCCGCGCTGAGGAAACGCGGGGCGCCGCGGGGCGCGCGGAGCGCCGCGCCGCGTGCCACGGACCACCGCCGCGCCTCCCGCGCGGCGGGGCGAAGCTCACGCGACCGGCCGTCGACGTCGGGGGCCCGCTCCTCGGCCTCGTCCTCGCCCTCGCCCGCGCGCCCTTCGGAGGAGGAAGAGGGGCCCATACCGCTACCCTTGCCTCGTTTTCCCCTTGTTGGTCCTCCTGGGAGGCCCTCGTCGCCACCGCTGGGTTCGCGTCGAAGTTCTAGGCAGAACGCACCCCGGGAGAGGTCCGGGGAGCAGCGGTATCGGTACCTGTTGGTTTCACCATCGCGACCATGCAACATTGCAGCCGCGCCGTCGCTGCGCGGGCGCCGAGGCGGCGTGGCCAGGAGTCACCGCCGCCGCAGCAGCGCCTGCACAACCAGCATGGCAGGAGCGCCAGCAGCGGTGCCAGCATCAGAGCCAGCATCGGCAGCACGCCAGCCCGCTGGAGCACGAGCAGCGGGCGAAGCGGGGGCAGGTGGCCCAGCCGCCCAGCGAGCTGCAACTTTGCCCGGTCTCGGCGCTGGCTGTGCACAGTGGCGCGTCGAGCTCGCAGCCGTGCACGGTGACAACGAGGCGGTGACCCCGAGCAGCTAATGGCAGTCGACGACTGCACCGAGCTGCCGAAGCTTCAGCAGCATCTACCACCTGCTGCCGGGCCAAGGTCTGCCAGGACGGAGAGCGCGGCATCTACACGGCCTCACAGATGCGACAGAAAGAGCGAGAGCGTTGGTGGCTTCTATGCCGCGCTGCCCGCGGCCACGTGCCTGGGGATATCGACGGCGACGGCGACGCGCAGTTGTCTGAGCACAAAGCACTTTGGCAAGAAGATGGAGGAGGATCATGGGCTGATTCGCGCCCCGCTGGCCGCAGCCTGGCTTCGGCGCGCGGTGCTCCGTCAGGGCGAGCAGGCTGCCGAAGGTGTGGGACGACGAGGTCGAGGATCATCCTCGTGCGGTCGGTAACTTTTGGATAGCGCGTCGCTGCGCCGGTTCTTGCCCAACACGCTTACGGTAGGTTCGTGTCGTGTCGACCGGCGGCGACCCCGCCAGCGGCGTTCAACTTTGAACGCCGGCGGCGGCCCAGAATCGATCGGTGTTGAACGATTGGACGTTGCGGAAACGGCCGATCGTTCAAGGTTGAACGATCCCTGCGGTGTCAAAAACCAACGCCGGGGTCGGCACGACACGAACCTGCCGTAGGCGCGACACGCTATCCACTTCCTGGCCCCCCCCCCCAGGCGTCCACGTCCCGAGCTGTTCCCAGCCTCCCGCCCCGCGGAGCGGAGCGACACGCCATCCGCTCGCAAAACATTCGTGCCGCCGGGGCCGCCGTCGCAACGCGCTGTGCAAAAGTTCCCGAACGTAGTCGTCTCAGGAATCAATTCCACTCTAATCCTCCTTGTCGACGTTTCGGCGTTCCGCGCGTTTGAGTGTCGTTTGGATTCCCCGACTTCCTGCCTTAGCGGCTGACGTTTTGACTGTTCGATGTTTCGTGCTGCCATGTGCCGTGTCCATGTTTAGACGATGCGATTGTTCGACGTTCCGAATGTTCGGCTTCTCCATTTCTCGTACCGGTCAATCGCGCGTTCATCATTTCGGCATTTTAGCTTGTTCAGTTGTTGCGCCACTCGCTGCTCGCACAAGGCCAAACCGCAACGTCCGTCCATTAGCTTTGCGGTGCACAGCCAAAAGAAGGTGATGATGATAATGACGATGCTGCTGGCGATGGTGATGACGATGATGATGATGATGATGATGATGATGATGATGATGATGATGATGATGAGGAGGAGGCTCATGATGATGCTGCTGATGATGATGGTTGATGAGAATGAAGACGAGGACGAGGACGCGGATGAGGATGCTGCTGCTGATGGTGATGATATTGATGACGATGACGATGACGATGATGATGCTGTCGATGATCATGATGATGGTGATGATGATGGTGGTGATGGTGATGGTGATGGTGGTGATGATGATGGGGATGAGGATGAGGATGATGATGATGATGATGATGATGATGATTACGATGATGATGCTGATTCTGATGAAGGGTGGTGATGCTGGTGCTGGTTGTGGTGAGGAGGAGGAGGGCGAGGATGATAATGATGCGGATGATGATCATGGTCATGGTGGTGTTGCTGCTGATGATGATGATGAACGGCAACAATGACGACGATGATGGTGACGACGAAGATGATGATTATAATGGTGATGATGCTGACGATGATGATGAAGCTGCTGATAATGATGATGCTTATTATGATGATGACGATGTTACAGATGGTGATGATGCTGATAATGCTGCTGATGATGATGGTACTGACGATGATGATGATACTGTGATGATGATGGTGATGGTGATGGTGATGGTGATGGTGATGGTGATGGTGATGATGATGATGATGATGATGATGATGATGATGATGATGATGATGATGATGATGATGATGATGATGATGATGGCCGTGACGTCCTACTCTGGGCGAAGGGAAGGGAATATTTAATACGTGGTATAAGATCATAGAAGGTACAATTAAGAGTGACCCTTCGCCGGAGTGTCCTTTGGTTCTGGCCCAAAGGGGGTCAGGGCATTTTTCTCGCGGAATGAGCTTGACCTCGCGTCGGCACCCGCATCGCGTGATTACGCTCGCATCTGATCGCGCCAGGTTTGCGCCCACCCCTTGAAATTGACAGCAACGCATACGCGTCGCTCCCAGCAGCTTGCACTGGTTACCTGAAGGGGAGCCGGTCGACCAGACGGCGCGTTTTCCGGCCCAGGGCCAGTCCCGAATACCAGCCCCAATCCAAAACGTCTGGCTTGAAAATCTTTTGATATCTTTGAATATCTTTGAATATCTTTGAATATCTTTGAATATGTTTGTTCCAAACCAATGGGAATCTTTACTATTGAAAATTTTCCAAAGATATTCAAACACATTCCAGGCTCTCGGATGGGGCCTGTTTTGGCCATGACGCCGGGCCTGGTCAGACGTCATCGCGATGCAGCCCGGCTGTGCCAGACCTCATCGCGGTGGGCCCTGGCAGCGTCTGCTTTCGCAGCGCCTTCGAAGTGCAATTCGGCGCGCTCGAATTCAATCGGCGGAATTCCGCGGATGCCGCTGGCACAAACAAGTCATTCGAGCGGCGCCCCGCCGATCGTTGATGGGGCGCGGCAACGCCGGCTTGCGCGATTGCGTTGGGCCCTCACGGGCGCCCGTGAAGCTGCGCACCAAACGTACGGTCAGTCCATGTGTAGTCGAGGAAAGGGAAGAGGAGGAGGAGGAGGAGGAGGAGGAGGAGGCGGAGAAAGAGCAGGAGGAGGAGGGGGAGGAGGAGAGGGAAGAGGAGGAGGGGGGCGAGGATGAGGAGGAGGAGGAGCAGGAAGATGATTATAATGCTGCTGATGATGCTGAGGAGGATGATGCTGATTGTAAAGATGGGGAGGGTGATGATGATGTGATGATGATGGTGGTGGTGGTGGTGATGATGATGAGGAGGAGGACGAGGAAGAGGCGGAAGAGGAAGACGAGGAGGAGGAGGAGGTCGGGGGTAGGAGGTAGTAGGTAAAAGGTGAGAAAGAGAGACAGAGAGAGAGAGAGAGAAAGACAGAGACAAAGATATAAAGAGGGAACCAGAGAAAGAGAGAGAGAGAGAGACATATTGGATGGGCTGAACAGGAGCAAGAGGATTTGCAGGAACAGGAGGAGGACGAGGAGGAGGAGGAGGAGGAGGAGGAGGAGGAGGAGGAGGGACAGGAGGAGGAAGAGGAGGACGAGGAGGAGGAGATGATGAGGGGGAGGAGGAGGAGGAGGAGGAGGAGGAGGAGGAGGAGAGGAGGAGGAAGGAGGAGGGGGAGGAGGAGGAGGAGGAGGAGGAGGAGGAGCAGGAGCAGGAGCAGGAGCAGTAGCAGGAACAGGAACAGGACGAGGATCAGGAACAGGAGCAGGAGGAGGACCAGGAGCAGGAGCAGGAGGAGGAGGAGGAGGAGGAGGAGGAGGAGGAGGAGGAGCAGGAGCAGGAGCAGGAGGAGGAGAAGAAGAAGGAGAGGGAGGAAGATAGGGAGGAGGACGAGGAGGAGGAGGAGCAGGAGCAGGAACAGGAGCAGCAGCAGGAGGATGAGGAGGGGGGAGAACATACATATTTGGGATGGAGGGAGCATAAGCAGACGGATGAGTACGAGGCAGAGTGGTACGTTGAGGGGGCCAGGCGATCGACAGTCTCGGGGGCAGTCAGGGAGGATTGTGGCCGAGAAGGGCACAAGGTCGAAATTGGTAGATCGCCAGTGGAAACCATGGGGCGGTACGTTCTGTTCCCGCCCCAGATCCTGTAGCCCGGAGGTCCGGGAGGCCCTGCCTGGATGCCAGAAGAAGCGCTGAAAAGCTTTCGTAAAACGTCCAGGGGCACCCCTCTCTCGTTCCTCGATGGCCGAAGGCAAGACCTGGCAGGCTGAGGGAGGATTTGCCGGGTCGCCAGGGAGCGGAAAGGGGTCCAGAGGGAAATGGGTCCTGGAAGTTTTTCACGGTGCCTGCCTTCCCCCGGGCCCTCCGCGGACCCGGCCGTCAAGAAGCGGCTCGGGGTGGAAAGCTCGCCCCGGAGGAACGCCCCGGGATGCAGGACCCGCTTCCCTCGGGGCCTGCCTCCTGCACGCCAGCTGCTGGGCCGCGAGGGAGGGCGGGGCTGCAGTCTCGGCGGGGCGGCCCCGAAGGGCGGAGTCGGGCCCAGGGTTGGGCGGGCGGGTGGAGCCGCCGACGAAGAGGGGGAGGCCAGGGAGGGGGTGCGGAGGGAGGAGGGAGGAGGGAGGTGGGAGGAGGGAGGAGGTGGAGGTGGAGGAGGGAGGAGGGAGGAGGGAGGGGAAGGGGAGGGAGGAGGGAGTATCGATGAGGGAGAAAGGAGGGACGAGGGAGAGGGGGGGAGGGAGGGAGGAGGGAGGGAGGGAGGGAGGGAGGAGGGAGGAGGGAGGAGGAGGAGGTGGAGGAGGAGAGGAGGAGGAGGAGGAGGAGGAGGAGGAGGAGGAGGAATTCCCGCCCACCCGCCTCCGTGGCCTCAGTTGCTGGTGTGCGGGGGCGTGGGGAGCTCTTCTAGCCTGCCCCCACGGGCCATATCCGTGGCCCACGCAGGGTCGGCCCCCTTCAGGCCAGCCGAGGACGCGTGGAAGCTGGTCGAGGAGGGCAGCGTCTTCATGTCTAAGGTCCCTGGCCAGGCAGGAGAGGATTACCGGGAGAAGCGTGGAGGACGGATGGGGAGGAGAGGGAGGAACAGGAATTAGTAGGATGAGAAGGACAGCAGGCCCTAGTTTGGGAGGGATGCCCTCGTGCTTGAAATATCCAGAACTCTTTTACAAGGTACCAACGCTCTAACTTCGTTCAGGCATACTCCAAAGACGACACTCAAAACGACCATACCCAAACCGACCGCCGCTCTAAACTCGATGACGTCGGCATGCTAAGTAAAATCAGCACATCTGGTGCCCACGGGCACTTCTCACGCACGCCCACCGACCCCACACGCCCGCCTTACGGATGCAGGCCTACTTTGGCTTGCCTTAGCTTCAACATGCTCGAACATGACCAACCTCCTCCTCCTCCTCCTCCTCCTCCTCCTCCTCTTCCTCCTCCTATTCTTCGAGCCTGGACTTTCCACAATTGAGTGTTGTTCGTTTCGACACCTCCACGGGGCCTTGAGCAACACGGCGAGGGAACCCCGGTTCTTGGCCCACGTGATTGTGGTCACGCGTCGGCCGTAGGGGTGTGTGTGTGCGCGCGTGTGTTTGTGCTTGTGTTTTGTGTGCGTGTGTGTGTGTGTGTGTGTGTGCGTGCGTGCGTGCGTGCGTGTGTGTGTGTGTGTGTGTGTGTGTGTGCGTGTGTGTGTGTGTGTGTGTGCGTGTGTGTGTGTGTGTGTGTGTGTGTGTGTGTGTGCGTGTGTGTGTGTGCGTGTCTGTGTGTGTGTGTGTGTGTCTGTGTCTGTATCTGTGTCTGTGTCTGTGTCTGTGTCTGTGTCTGTGTGTGTGGGCATCGTGGCCGGGGCCACGAGACCTCCCGTGACTCCCTGGCTGCCTCCTATTCCTCTCTCGCTGCGTCCCGTGGTCTCCCCTCGTCCGCGCGCATGCCTCGGGCCACGAGGCGCCGATCCCTGCCTTCCTTCCTTCCCCCCCCCCCCTCTCGCTGGCGCACCCCATCCTCGTCCCCCTCCTCCCTCGCGAGGCGCGAGGTCCGAGGAGGAGGGGGTGGAGGTTTTTGGAGCGATCCGATCCTTCTTGGGCCTCCGTGGAGGCCTCTGCCGCAGCCTCCGGCCCACGCCTCAAGAGGGCCTCCGATCATCAGGCGGGCCCTGGGGTGAGGACCCATCGCGCCAGAGCGTGCGAGAACGCTCTCAGAGCGTTCTTGAGCGCTCTGCAGCGGGCGCGGCGCCCGACACAGTCTCCAGACCCGCCAGCTTTCAGAGGCTCCCAACAATTGAACAGTCGTCGTGCTACCAGAAGGAGTGTTTCTCTACACATTCTAAGTGGGGTTGTGGTTTTCTGTGGACACCCCGTTCAGGAACCTCATTACCCTTCCTCTCACCATCATCATCATCATCATCATCAGCATCATCAACATCATTATAATCATCATCATCACCATCATCATCATCATCATCATCTTCATCATCATCCTCATCATCATCATCATCATCATGATCATCACCACCATCATCACCATCATCATCACCATCATCATCACCGTCATCACCACTATTGTCATCATTTGCATTACCATCATCAGCACCACCATCAACATCATCATCGTAGCCACCATCACCACCGTCATCACCACTATGGCCATCATCAGCATCAACATCATCATCATCATCATTATCATAATGGCCACCATCATCATACTTATCATCGTCACCATCATCAGCATCAGCGGCAAACATACCATCATTACCACCAGCATAACAGTCATCATCGTCGTAATCACCATCATCATCAGCATCATTGTCGTCATCGTCATCGTTATCGCCATTTTAATCGTTCTCGTCATCGTCATCGTCATCATCGTCGCCATCATCATCAGCAACAGCAGCAACATCCTCATCACCATCATTGTCATCAGCATCACCATCATCATCGTAATCATTATCATCACCATCATCATCACTATCATTATCATCATCATCCTTATCCGCATTCTCACCATCACCGCCATCATCATCATCATCATCATCATCATCATCATCACCATCATCAGCATCACCACCGACAGTATCATCATCATTCTTATCATCCTCATCCTCATCCTCATCATCATCACCATCATCGCCATCATCACCGCCACCATCACCACCATCATCATCGTCATGACCTTCATCTTCATCTTCACCTTCGTCTTCGTCTGTATCTTCAGCTTCGTCGTCACCAGTGTACTCCTTGCGCGCCCATCACGCCATCCTCTGTGTTCGTCTCCCCTACCGCCACGCCGCCACCACCATCGCACGCACTCGCTCACACGCTCGCGCAGTCATCCCGAGAAAGCCTCGAGCGGAAGCCTCGTCCGTGCGTGAGTCGCGACGCAGTCTCGGGCGGGAGCCCCTCCCTGGGGGGTGGGTCCCCACCTCCTGCCGGTCATCCGAGAGGGTGCCTCGGTACAAGCGAGCGCAGGCTTGGGGACACCTGGGAGGCCGAGTCTCGAGAGCTGGAGCCTCGCCTGCGAGTGAGTCGCCCAGAAGTCTCGGGCGGGAGCCCCGCCTTATGGAGTCGCTTCTCAGAAGGCCGCGGGCCTTCTCCGCAGATGTGAGGCCCGCGCCTGGGCTCCGGGGGGCACGAGGCTCAAGCTGCGCCTCGCGCCCCGTTGCGAGGAGCGGGAGGAGGAGGAGGAGGAGGAGGAGGAGGAGGAGGAGGAGGAGGAGGAGGAGGAGGAGGAGGAGGAGGAGGAGGAGGAGGAAGGAAGAGGAGGAGGAGGAGGAGGAGGAGGAGGAGGAGGAGGAGGAGAAGGCTCACCTCCTGGTTGGTAGTCCGAGGCGGCCATCGGAGCACCCTGCAGGAGCGCAGGTTTGGTCACCTCTGGGGGCCAGACTTCCGAGGAAGCCTCGAACGGGACGGGGCCTCGTTCGGCCGCGGCCGCGGCATGCCGCTGCATGTTTGTGGGCTCGTCTGCACGCCGCGGGCACTGCTCGCCTGTCGAAAGCTGGGCGAGGGCTGCTAAAACCGTGGCTGCTAAAACGGCCCTCCCGGAAGGAAAAAACAACTTCCCGGAATGAGGTGCGGCACGCGAAACAGTCAACGGGCTTCTTCCCGGAAGGACGAAGATAACTTCCCAGATGTCGATTTTAGCAGCCACGGATTTCGCAGCCCTTGCCCGCCTTCCGAAAGGACGGGAAGGGAACGACGGGCGCACTGCGGCCGCTGCTGGAAAGACAGGCGCATTTCGACCGCTGGTCGACGGATGAAATGGAGGGGCGCGCGGAGGATCGTGTGGAGGGGAGGCCGACCGAGCGCGGCAGTCCATCCTCGGCCCCCTGCCCCACACTTTTCTATGTGTCGAAGCCGCTGGAGCCTGCCTTGGAGGCGACAGGACGGAATCCGACGAACCGTCCTCGGGCGCTGAGCAAATCTCGCCTCCAGCCTAGACGGCACGAGCATGTGCAAACATGATGCACGCACGCGTCCAAGGACAGATGATTCAAGCCATTCGGGCCAGACTTACCAAACTCGAGTACCAGATGTAGGACTGCCGCCACAAAGAGTGCACCGAATGACATCATGCAGCAGGCTCGAGTGATCGGAACTTTGGGAAGACGCAGCCGTCAAAATCGGTGCAGCAACACGAGAACGAGGAGCGAGTGTTGGTCACGAAAGTCTATGATTCCTTCTCCTCCTCCTCCTCCTCCTCCTCCGCCTCTTCCCCCTCCTCCTCCTCCTCCTCCTCCTCCTCCTCCTCCTCCTCCTCCTCCTCTTCCTCCCCCTCTTGCCTCCCTGCCCCTCCCTCCCTCTTCTCCTTCTCCGCCCTCTCCGAGCGGGGCCGCCACCGATTTCGCCCTCGACGCCGCCGTAGTCCGCCGCCGCTGAGGAGGCCGAGGCCAGCTCTCCTCCCCTCCCCGCGCGCCGCCTCGCCCCCTCCCGCTCTCCACCCCCTTCTCGGCCACACGCAGGGGGGGGGGGGGGGCACGGCGGGACAGGGGAAGGCTTCTCTGAGGAGCACACCTGCGTCTCAGGTGGGAAGCGCGGGCCTGGTCTGTGGATCAGTGGCCAGCGCCTCCTGAGAAGCAGCCTCCTCCTCAGCAGCCTCCCCCCACCCTCCCCTAATTACCTTGGCATCGCTCGGGCGTGTGCGTTTTTTCTCGGCGGGGAACCATCGAGGAGCATCCTGGGCCTCCTCGCGAAACGAGACACGCACGAAACCAACAGACAACCACGGGGAAGGGACGTCCGAGCGATGGCGAGAGCTACACGCCTGGTGCGCGCCGCCGACCTCCCCTGGCCGCGTCTGCCCGCCGGCCCTGCGGCGCCCGCGCCAGGTCGAGGAGGCGGAGGCGGCCGCCTGGCGCGGGCACGAGGAGACCTGGTCGTCGTCGGCGGCGGCGGTGTCGGCGTCGGCGTCGGCAGCCTTCTTTTTGGCGTTAGGCGAGCTCGGGGAGCAAGGCCTGTAGCGTTCTTGTGGCTGACTTAGGTCACCGTGGCGACTCCTCCTCCTCCTCCTCCTCCTCCTCCTCCTCCTCCTCCTCCTCCTCCTCCTCCTCCTACTCTTTTATCTCTTCTCCTCCTCCTGTCCTTTCCACCACCACTCCCTCCTTCCCGCATCTCTCCCCTACTCTCTTCTGACCGCCTCAAGTCTCCTCTGCTGTCCTCGCCGCTCCCTTTCTGCCCGCCTCATTCTCCTCCCGCCTCCCCTCTCCTCTGCCCCTCTCCCTTCTTCTCCTGCTGGCCTAATTTTCCTCCTCCGCCTTCTCTTCCTTCCTTCCTTCCTTCCTTCCTTCCTTCCTTCCTTCCTTCCTTCCTTCCTTCCTTCCTTCCTTCCTTCCCCCTCTCCACCTCCTCCACCCCTTTCTTCGCTTCCTCCTCCTCCTCCTCCTCCTCCTCCTCCTCCTCCTCCTCCTCCTCCTCCTCCCCCTTCTCCTGCGCCCACCCTCCCGGCGGCATCCGCGGAGCCCCTCGGGACCTCCCCAGCGTCGCCACACACCTGTTCGCTCCCTCCTCCCTCCTCCACCCGTCCTCCCTTCCCCCTTCCTGCCCCCCCCCCCTGGCCCCTCGATCCGCAGCCCCGGCAGGTCACGGCAGCACCGGCGGGGCCCCATCGCCCCCCTCGGGGGTCGCGGCGCGTCTTTCTGCTCGCCGCAGGCCCCAGGAGCTGGTTACTTCGCGACAGAATCGAGTCTCCAGGCTGGCGAGGCTTTTTCGACGTCTTCTGGGACTCGTGCTGAGCCTCCCAGGGGACCTCCGGAGTCCAGCACAGTGATCTGCTGTTGCTGCTGCTGCTGCTGCTGCTGCTGCTGCTGCTGCTGCTGCTGCTGCTGCTGCTGCCCCGGACATCCGACGTCGTGCCGTTTTTCTCTGACGAGGCTCCCTGGAGGCCTGGACCAGCTTTTCATCCCGAGTCTTTTTTGGGGGGCTGGCCCTGAAGCTCCTTGAGGCCGAAAACTGAGTTCCGGACCTTTGCCACGGGACGAGCTTTTCATCTTGGGTCGCTTTTTCGGCGGCCCTGGCGCTCCCAGAGGCCGAAAACTGACCGACAATTGCCAAATCGCCATGGCACCACGCCGCGAGGACGTCCGGGGCTCTGCTTTTGCCGATGAGACCAAGCCCCCACAGGAGGCCTTCGTGGCGCGCGTGCAGCGCTACAAGGCGCTGGCGGCCCGCGGCTCGGGCGCGGGGGGCACGCTGCCCGAACCCCGGGGGGGGGGGCTGGGGGCCGCCTGGTCGTCGAGCAGCCTCCAGAACAGAAAGTTCTAGGTAGCTCTACGTCGCTGCGCCGTTTGTTCCGACGCGCGGCCTTGCGTCTCGGGGAGGGCGCCGCGGGCACCAGGGCAAACGCCGCCTCGGGCGCAGGGTTTCCGTGAGGCTTGCCGCGGGGCCGGCTGTACCCACTTGGGCGCATTTAGGACAAACGGCGCGGCGACATATGCTCAAACAGGCCACGGGCGTTCAAGGTTGAGTGCCCCGGCACCTCCCAAAGTACGAGCTCTAAAGATTTGCAGGTCAAGCAGCATATTGACGCCACAAAGCCAGAGCGCGCCCGGCAGCTTCCGGGGCCCCCTTAGCGGCGGAGCTCGGCCAGGAGTGGAGCAGTTCACGCGGCGAGCGCAGCCACGGCCCGCGCCCTCGCGGCCCGCCCTCGACCTCCGCCCTCCGTGGCCCATCCCATCTTGATCCGATCGATCCGATATCGACGTCGATCTCGGCCGGCCCGATCCGATTCGATTCCGATGTCCCGACGGTCCGATGCGGCCCGATGCCTGCACGGAGATGCTGTGCTTCCTGGCGCGGCCGGTTTGGCTCGATTCCGGCTCCGTGACGGTGCAGCCCGATCCGACGCACGCTCCGACCCGACCTCCTTCCCCTCCTCCTCCTCCTCCTCCTCCTCCTTCTCCTTCTCCTCCGCCCTCCTCCTCCTCCCTCCTCCTCCCTCCTCCTCCCTCCTCCTCCCTCCTCCTCCTCCTCCTCCTCCTCCTCCTCCTCCTCCTCCTCCTCCTCCTCCTCCAGCGTCGGCGTTTTGGGCGGAGCTGGGGCCCCAGAGGAGCCCCGGATGGGGAGGGCCGCCGACGTGGAGCCTCTGCTACCTCGCGCATGCTGCATTCTGGGCAAGAGCTTCTGATCCTCCTTTCGGGGGAGCGTAAGACCCGGGTTTGCCGGGACTCGGGTTCGCCATTTTTTTTTGACGACCGCGCCTCGGATTTTGACGAGGAGGAGTTTCGTGGGATGTCTGCAGCGGGAGGCCTCGTCAAAATGCAGGCTCGGCCTCGTCATTTTTTTGACGACCTCGTCGGGGATTTCCGAGTCCCCCGTACCCGGGTCTTACGTCTCCCCGATCCTTGCGAAACCTCAGGGGGGCCGAGATCATAGTCGTAATCATTATCCCGAGTTTCCATGAAGAGCCAAGCCGGTTAGACCAGGAGGGGGATTCGAGGATGCATCCCAGGCGGGCGAATCGGACGCACCATCAGCGAGGATGGACGCCCCCTTCTCCCACATGCCCGAGTTGGGCCCCAAAGTTCTGGTCCATCCGAAACTCCCACGAAGCCCGGGATAGGGGTCGACACATTCCCGTTTGAGTATCACTGTCATGGGGGGCAGATGGATCAGATGACCTGTCCCCGCGGGCAGGGGGCAGAATGAGCAGGCTGAAGTCGGAAGCTGGAACATATACATTACCAGTGGCGTTTTTTTTTTCAATGCCAAGACTTTTTGAGGGTCGGGGACGACGTCGGGGTGGTATGGTGTATACGTGTCCCCCGTTTTCCAAGGGAAGCAACGAAACATGTGTACACCAGGATCCCGTACACACCAGGATCCGCGTTCCTGTGCGAATTTCGGCGCAGGGTCGGGAAAAAACGTCGGTGTATAGAGTTCGTTTCCCTATGAAGGGCAACCCCACGCAGGTCGCCAGCTGAGGGCCTGATCCCTTGTGCGGAGTCTTTCTTTCTGGCGCCTGTGCTGACCTGCACCAGCAGGCAGGGAACACCGGGGGCGTTCCAGAAGCTGCCTCGCCTGCGAAGATCGACAGAGCTGGCATCGCCTGCGGAAGGCGGCGCAGTAAACAGCGTTTCGGGAACCCGTTGCATGGCGCGGCCAGCCTGGGCGAGAGCTGACCACGCGTGGCCGCAGGTCGGTTCCAGCGCTCGGCCCTATTTCTCGTCGGGTGCGCTGGCCGTCCGCGCGTGTATCCGGCACAAGGCCGCGACGCGTCCGAGCGTGAAAAATTCAGCTTCCTCGCAGGCACGTGTGACTGCCTGGCCGAAGCATCCGCCGATGCAAGGCTACGGTCGACGACGCTGTTACACAAGAGCACGAGTGCTCAGTCTCCTCAGCTGCTCGCCCTCGCACCCCGATCGAGAGCACCCAGGCCAAGCGCCCCCTCTGCCAGAACCGGGCTCGACCCCAGCGTCAAGAGCTCCTGCCAGGGCTCGTGCAGTCTGGCTCCACTTGGCCACAAACCAGTGCTTTGTGTACCCCTCATGTGATCTGACTTCCGCCTCGGTTCTTCCTCACTCCTTCCTCCCTCCTCACTTGCTCTCTCATCCCTCTTCCTCCTCCCGTCCCCCTCCTCCGTCTCATCTTTCTTCTCTTTCTCCTCCTCCCCTCCTCCTCCTCCTCCTCCTCCTCCTCCTCCTCCTTCTTCCTCCACTCTCTGGCCCTCCTCGTCGTTGTCCGCCCCCTCCCACTCCTCCTGGGGGAGGTGGAGGGCGAGGAGGGGCACGACCTGTGCCTCGGTCGTCGGTCGGTCTCCGTCGCCGTCGGCCGCCCACGCCGCCCGGGCGTGCGGGAGACGTGTGCCCCCCCGACGCCTGCCGAGCCCGTGCCCGTCCCCCTCTCGCTGGAGGAGGAGGAAGAGGAGGAGGAGGAGGAGGAGGAGGAGGAGGAGGAGGAGGAGGAGGAGGAGGAGGAGGAGGAGGAGGAAGGAGGAGGAGGAGGAGGAGGAGGAGGAGGAGGAGGAGGGAGGCGGAGGAGGAGAGGAGGGAGGAGGAGGAGAGGAGGGAGGAGGAGGAGAGGAGGAGGAGGGAGGAGGAGAGGAGGAGGAGGAGAGGAGGAGAGGAGAGGAGGAGGAGGAGGAGGAGGAGGAGGAGGAGGAGGAGGACGAGGAGGAGGAGGAGGGAGGAGGAGGAGGAGGAGGAGGAGGAGGAGGAGGAGGAGGAGGAGGAGGAGAGGAGGAGGAAGGAGGAGGAGGAGGAGGAGGAGGAGGAGGAGGAGGAGGAGGAGGAGGAGGAGGAGGAGGAGGAGGAGGGAGGGAGGAGGAGGAGGAGGAGGAGGAGGAGAGGAGGAGGAGGAGGAGGAGGAGGAGGAGGCCCCCTCGTCCCCCCTGCAGCGGCAGGACGCTGCGCGGGTTTCCCTCTCCGCCCACGCGCCGCCGAGTGCGGCTGGGGCCCCCACACGGCCGAGTGCGGTGCGATAGCAGCGGCTTGTGCGTTCGGGTTTGGCCTCCGCGCGGCCCGCGCAAGTCGCGCACCCAAGGTCATTATTGCCTAGGGCCACTCTTGCGTGTCGCCGATGTGTGCTTGTGTGTATGTGTATGTGTGTGCGAGAGAGAGAGAGAGAGAGAGAGAGAGAGAGAGAGAGAGAGAGAGAGAGATAGAGAGAGAGAGAGAGAGCGAGAGAGAGAGAGAGAGAAAAACAAAACAAGACACCGCTCCTCCCCTTCTCCCTCCTGCCTGCCCCTACCTGTGCCTGAATTTTGCCGCTCAGCGTAGCCTCACCGCAGCTCGGACCCGAGGCGCTGCCGGCAGCGTAACAGGTGCGCGAGTCACCCGATGCTCCAGTAGTGTGGCGATGATTCCCCTGGTGGCGCTGCCCCAGGACCCGAAGTTTCCATCCCGAGCCGTATTTCGTCGACGGCCCTGGGGAGCCCAGCGTGGGCCCCCCCCCGGGAGCCGAAGACGGCCGAATGCCTGGCGCCGTGTTTTATTGTTCAGGCGAGCGACGGGGGGGAATGCGAAGGAGAAGGCCTTCTCAGAAGGCGGCGGGACTTCTCAGAAGCCCCTCGCGCCTTCTGAAAGTTTTTTTTTCTCTTCCGGGAAGGCTTAGAGAACCTCTCGGAGGGCCGGGGGGACCCTTGAGCCTTCTGAGAAGGCCCGCCCTCTCTCGCTTCCCCGTCGGTTCCGCGCGCCAGACAGTTCGCCTCTCGCCTGCCCCGATGCGCCTCACGCTGGTGCGGACCGCCTCTGCCCCGCCGCCGACGAACAAAAACAAGTCGTGCTCACGGCACGGGGAGGTCAGGGCCCCAACTCCGGGCGACCCAGGGCCCGGCTCTGTGGACAACTTCCGGCACCGAAGCGGCGCAGGGAGCCTCACCTGCGGTCGAGGAGGAGGAGGAGGAGAAGGAGGAGAAGTAGGAAGAGGAGGGGGAGGAGGAGGAGGAGGAGGAGGAGGAGGAGGAGGAGGAGGAGGAGGAGGAGGAGGAGGAGGAGGAGGAGGAGGGAGAGGAGGAGGAGGAGGAGAAGGAGGAGGAGGAGGAGGAGGAGGAGGAGCATACGTGTAGGAGGCCTCTTCCCGAGCGTTGGGGCCAGCGTCTTCTGATCCAACTTGCCAGGAAGCTGGCCCAGCTTCTTGAGGTGACGGAAACAGGCCCAGATCCGATTCGAGGAGCTCCGGGGAGACTGGCACAGCTCTCTTGAATGATGCTTTTCTTGATCATACTTTCGGCTGTACAGTAAGTATGTTGGAGTAAAGACCACCGTGGGCTCAGGAGAGGCTCAGCTTTCGTGCCGTTTCTCAGCTCTGGATGGGGGAACCTGTTCGTGGCTGAGGATCGCCGTGGCCAGAGAAGCCCCTTCGTCCCTTATTCAGCGTTCGGTCTGGTAGCACGATCAATGTGGCGCAGGCCCCCCCCGCTTCACTGCAATGTGAAAGCTCCAGCCCCGAACCCCGCACCGCGCCAGAGCTGCTGACGCGCCTGCTCCGGTACCGCGGCCAGCAGAGGAGCCTTGGGCCCGTGAGCGCTGTGCCCCTGCTAGGCCACCTCCCCCCCCTGCAGGTGCAGCCGCCCGTCGTGAACGCCACCGCAGGCCAGGCGGTCTGCACCCAGCGCTGCATGGCGGAGGTCGCCGCCATCGTCGAGAGGCGGCGCGCGCCCCCGCGGCACTCCCCGCGGCCCCGGGCGCGGCGCAGCGCTCGCGCGGCCTCAGACGGGCGCAGGTCGGGTCGGTCTCCTCCTCGTCCAACTCCTCCAAGTCTTCCTTCAATTTTTCAAACTCTTCGATTCCTCCTCCTCCTCCTCCTCCTTTTCCAATTCCTCCTCTTCCTCCTACAATTCTTCCTCCTCCTCCTCCTCATCCTTCTCCCCCAACTCCTCCAACTCCTCCTCCTCCTCCTCCTCCTCTCCTCCTCCTCCTCCTCCTCCTCCTCCTCCTCTTCCCTTTCCTCCTCCTCCTCCTCCTCCTCCTCCTCCTCCTCCTCCTCTCCCTCCTCCTCCTCTCCCTCCTCCTCCTCTCCCTCCTCCTCCGCCTCCTCCTCCTCCGCCTCCTCCTCCTCCGTGCCCTTCCGCTCCTCTTCCTGGGTGGCGCAGGCGCGGTCTAGTGTGGCGTGGGGCGGCGAGCCTCCAATGGCGTGGGCTCCCCCTCGTACGGGTTCGGGGTTCGAGGTGTTTTCAGGCGCTTTCGTCGGTTCTCTGCGGCTTTCCAGCCTCGGCGCGCTCTCCAGCGGCTGCGCCTCGCCGAGAACGTTCCCGGGGGTGCCTGGATCGCCCCGAGCGACCGCTGGAGACCCGAGTTGAGGACAAAAGGCCAGACGACGAGGAACACTCGTGGCGAAGCCTGCTGCGCGCAGCCCGTCTTGGCCCCCGCCGCCGGACGCCTTCCTCGATGTATGGGCGCCTGCAGCGCTGAGGGGCGCCGGGAAACATCAGCTGCGGGTGCTGACTCTCTAACCTTAGAAAGGCCAGGGTTCGCTAGGGTTCAGTCGGGCCTGTCCCTCTACAAGAAAAGTATACAACAATAGTTTTAAACATAGTCTGGGGACGAATCTGTTTGGTAGCAAAAAACTATGTTTGACTGTTTTTTGTTTTTAAAAAATATTTTTAATTGTTCGTCCAACATCCCCCTGTAGGAGGGCACGCCCGACCTAACGCTAAATCCGCCTGGTAGGAGGACATGCCCGACCTGAAGGGTGCGCCAGGGCGCTGGCTCGGGGCAGCTCGCGGGCCGTGCTGTGTCTCGAGGCGGCGGCGGGGGCGAGAGCGCAGCCCAGGGCGGGGCGCATGGGCCCCCCGATCGCCCACTCTTCGCCGGCGGGCGCCGGGGCCCCCACCCCGCCCAGGGGCTCGGCGTCGCTCGGACGTGTGCATTTTTCCTTCGGCGAGGACCACCGAGGAGCATCCTTGATGATTTGGCGAAAAAGCCACGCACGAAGCCGACCAAAAGGCACAGGGAGTGGACGTCCGAGCGATGGCCAGGGGGGCTTGCAGTGTCGCCGTCGAGGACCTGTCGCTGCTGCCTCGGCGATGCGGCGCGCCAGGGCGCGCGGAAAGCAGAGCCTCTCTCTGGGCTCGGCAGGGGGCTCTCGCTGCTCCGCGGGTCGCTCCGCGGCGGGTTCCCCGGGCCCTCCTCGTGTGCTGGGGCTCCTCTGGCGCCAGATGAGGGGCGTCGCTCCTCGTTTGGCGCTCCTCGCTGCAGCAGCTCGGCGGTATCGCCGATTCCAGGTTCAGCCACGCGCGGAGGGAGGTTAGGGGGAGGGTGGAAGGTAGAAATCCCCGTGCTTCTTAAAAGGCGCGGGCCTCTCCCCCCTCCAGACCGCCCCCCCCCGTCGACCCCCCCTCAGGAGCGGGGCCTCGCGGAAGGCCAGCGCGCTCGCTGCGGGTTCTCTGGTCCTGGCGGTCGCCGCGCCCGCGAGGGGAGGGCGTTCCCGAGAGGACCTCGCTTTCAAGGGGATCGAGGAGTTGGCATCTCTTCCTCAGCGGAAGGCCGGCGAAAGTACGGAGCTGAGGGCTGCGGCTGGGAGGGGGGCAGGAGGGCGGTGGCGGAATGGGGGGGACGGAAGGAACAGGAGGGGAAAGGGAAAGGGGGAGGGATGGGTGGGATGGGTGGGAGGGGTGGGAGGGGTGGGATGGGTGTCAAGCGTTCCGACACTGCCCATCATCTCGCTCTTGCTACTTTCGTTGCGCTCGCCCCTTCCGCCTGCCTCCTCGGTGCCCCTCTCACCACCTCAACTTCCTTCCTTGTCCCTTTCTCTCCCTTGTCCCTTCTCGTCTCCCCCATCCTCTCATACTCTCCCCCCTCCTCCTCCGCCTCCTCCCTCCCTCCTCCCTCCCTCCCTCTCTGCTCGCTCCTCCTACTCCAGCTCCTTCTCCTCCTCCTCCTCCTCCTCTTCCTCCCACTCCTCTTCCTCCTTCTCCGTCTCGTTCTCCCTCCCTCCCCCCTTTCCTTCCCCCCTCCCTTCCCCCTTCCTTTTCCACCCCCCCTTCCCTGCTCCTCGGGGGCGCCCCGGCGAGGTGCGAGGCCGCCGGCGAGTGCTTCGTCGACCCGGAATGCCGCCGCGCCGCTCTCGTGGCCCAGGGAAGGCGAGGTTGAGGGGTGGGGGGGCGCGAGGAGCAGGGGCAGGAGCAGGAGCAGGAGGAGGAGGAGGAGGAGGAGGAGGAGGAGGAGGAGGAGGAGGAGGAGGAGGAGGAGGAGAGGAGCAGGAGGAGGAGGAGGAGGAGGAGGAGGAGGAGGAGGAAAAGAGGAGGAGGAGGAGGAGGAGGAGGGGGAGGGGGAGGAGGAGGAGGGGGAGGAGGAGTAGGAGGAGGAGGAGGAGGAGGAGGAGGAGGAGGAGGAGGAGGAGGAAGATGAGGAGGGGGAGGAGGAGTTTTGTATGCCACCTCGGCCTCTCAGCCATGCGCGGGCGCAGCAGGCTTTGCCCCTGACTGAAGTTCCGGTGCGGGCGAATAGCGGCCGCGGCCCGAGCAGCGGATAGACGATGTGTTTTTATGGTTCAACCTCAACCTGCGCCAAGCGCGGCGTCCGTGGCCATTACAGTGAGTGGTGACTCACATGGACGAGAGGAGTCTTGTGGCGAAGGCGTCCGCGCCGCACCTCGAATTGGACCGTCGCGGCAGTCCACGCGCCGCATCACAGGTACCGCCTCGCGGAGCGCAATAAGTGACGGGACCATGCCTGGAGGTGGCTCCAGAAAACCTCTGTTGATGTCGTCCTCGCTGACATCAGCGGTCGCTTGGGCACCGTGGTTATAGACAGGATTGGCCAGGGAATCAGACCCCACGAGGAGGACTCCAGTGGCAGCGAGATGGCCGAGATGACCCTGCACCCTGATACATACGGCACGGCCAAGCTCATGCCATCCGCCACGCCGTCTTGCTCGTACGTTCAGAACAGAAGCAATCGAAGTACCTCCCGCAGGGTCCGGCTGTGCCGCAAGCATCGCGGCGCATGGAGTTGCGAAGAGACCCCCCTACACACCACTTTTGAGCGGGTTGAAGCATCAGGCGGAGGAGGAGGAGGAAGAGGAGGGAGGTGGAACACAAGGAGGAGGGCATCGAACTTGAGAAAACAGCATGAGCATAACCTTCCGGAGGTCCGCGCGGATTTCTCGGATCGGCGTCTGACCTGGACCCCCATGGCGGCGTTTCCGGCGCCGCCAGGGAGGGGGGGCAAGCGACAATCCAGAAAATCCACGCCACCCTCGGAAGTCTTTTTATTGCACGGCGGAGGGCGAGGGGAGATCTGACAGCTCAAGCTCTGGCGCCAGGGATTGAGCACAGCGGGGCAGTGAGGAGGCTCGTGGGCCGGTGCCCCTATCAACAGCGGCGACGTAGGCAGCAGCTTTAGTTGTCGCGCAGGAGAAGATGAGGACGATGTGGAGATAACGAAGAGGATGATGATGATGATGATGATGATGAGGAGGAGGAGGAGGAGGAGGAGGAGGAAGAAAGGAGCAGGAGGCGGAGGCGGACGACGAGGGTCCGGAGAAGGAGGAGGAAGAGGAGGAGGAGGAGGAGGAGGAGGAGTAGGAGGAGGAGGATCAAGTGCAAGAGGTGGACAGGGATGACGACGACAATGACGATGACGACGAGGACCACCACGGCAACGGCATTGCATGGTCCTGGCCTCTGGGGGGGCAGGAGGACGGAGGAGGGAGGAGGGAGGAGGAGGAGGAGGAGGAGGAGGAGGAGGAGGAGGAGGAGGAGGAGGAGGAGGAGGAGGAGGAGGACGAGGCGGAGAAGGGCGGGGATTAGACCGAGGAGGAGAAGGAGGAGGAGGAGGAGGAGGAGGAGGAGGAGGACGAGGCGGAGGGGGCGGCGTGGATGATACAGCAGGTCCCCATAACTCGAAGAAAAAGCAGCATGAGCATGATCTGTTGCAGCTCTGCGCGGATTTCTTGGATCGGCGTTGGGCCTCCCTGGCGGCGCCTCTGACGCCGCCCTTGCCGCGCTCCGCGCGCGAGGGAGGGGCGTCCAGCGCTGATCCACGAAGTCCGCGCGGACGTCTGAGAAGTCCTGTTCGTGCCGTTGTTTGTGCTTCTCACTGCTACGAACGCACTGGCGGACGAGTGGGCCCGGGAGGTGCTGCGCCCCACGGGTGCTCGCGCGCGGGCGTGCGCCGCGCGCGCGGCGGGTCGAGGATTGGAACATGCAGGAGGACCCCGCCAAGGCGCCGGGGGAGGGCACGGCAGGGAGGGAGCTGGCGGAGGAAATGGAGGGGTCAGATGCGGTGAGGGTGGGCCAGGTCCTTGACACTGTGCTTACCCTTGGTCTTCGCTCTACTTATCCAGCTCTTCTCGGGTGTTCCACGTTCTTTCCAGCAATACTGCCGCCAATCAAGCCATTGTCTCGCACTCTTCCTGTTAGGATGTTGTCGAGTCCGTCCCCTCAAGGGCTCGTGTTGCAGAGTAGCGCAGCAGCCCGGCCGCTGATCTATGCCTCACGTCAAAAAATGAGGAGAGAGAGGAACAGGAAGAGGAGGAAGAGGAGGAGGAGGAGGAGGAGAAAGAGGCGGAAGAGGAAGAGGAGGAGGAGGAGGAGGAGGAGGAGGAGGAGGAGGAGGACGAGGAGGGAGAGGAGGAAGAGGGAGAGGAGGAGGAGGAGGAGGAGGAGGAGGAGGAGGAGGAGGTGGTGGAGGATCGATCAAGGATGATGATGTGACGGAGAGGCGCGGGGGTAGGACAATGATGATGAGGGTGGCGATGACGTTGAGGATGAGGAGGCAGGACGGCGGGAGAAGGTCGGAGGGACGCGGCGGCGGGAAGAGACGATAGGCAGTGCATAGAGAGGGGGTGGGAAACGACACTGTGCACTAGCCATAATGCAGGCACAGAGGAGGAGGGAGGGGAGATGAGGCGCGGGAGAGGTGAGCTGACGGAGGAACAAGGAGACGAAAGCGGGGAGGAGGATGAGCAGGGAGGACGGGTAAGAGGATGCGGGAGGAGAACGACAAGACGAGGAAGACGGAGGAGAGGATCAGGGTTGCTCCTCCTCGTCCTCCTCCTCCTCCTTCTCGTCCTCGTTATCCTTCCTCCTCCTCCTCTTCCTCCTCCTTCCTCCTCCTCATTCCTCCTCCTCCTCCTCATTCCTCCTCCTCCTCATTCCCTTCCTCATCCCTCCTCCTACCACTTCCGAAACAGGCAGCGCGAACTCCAGCACCGCTAGGACGTCTTTTTGTGATTCTGGTCTGGGCTGTTCCAGACCTTTACTACGGAAGGAAAGGGCCAGGCGTTGGAGGACGATGGCAGAAGGATGATAAGGAGGAGGAAGAGGAGGACGAGGAGGAGGACGAGGAGGAGGAGGACCAGTGCAAACCCAAGACCCAGCAACGTTGTTGCAATACACCCTTCCTCCAAGTTCCTTTCTCATAGGTCCCCAGAGGTGTGGATTGTCACTGAGGGGAGTGCCCCGTTGGAAGACATCCGTTTGAAGGTCTGCACCCTTGCCACAGCACCGTTCCTGGGACATTAGCGCCGCGAAACAGCGTTATTGTTGCCTCCTGACGATCCTGAACCCTGCCACTGCAAACGACGTAACTGATGCGCCCTGACAGTCACACACCGTGCCAAAGCACAGTTCTGGGATGTCCGCCATACGAATCCTTGACACTGCTGCAGACGGTTGAGACAGACTTGTGCGGCGCTGAGGCGAGAGCGGCAGTCTGAAACGGTGCCGCCCTCCATCGAGACGAATGTGCGGGCGCTAGGGCGAGAGACACATTTTTAGATGGTACCGCCCTCCATCCGCGAGGCTCTTTCGAACTTGTCAGACGAATGTACGCGGCCCTAAGGCGAGAGCCACATGTTGCAAACGGCCCGCCCTCCGCCGCGAACCTCTAGCAAACTTATGAAACGAATGCGCGCGACGCTAAGGCGAGAGGCACATTCTAAACACGACCCTCCCTCGATCCGTGAAGCTGTTGCGAATTCTCAACTCAAGGGTCATAAGCGTTGGGGAAGTCCCTGGCCAAACGCCAGGCCCGCCATACCGATACGTTTCGGGGTGCGACAGGGAGGAGTTATTCACGTGGCTTACGCCATTCCGCGGACTCCCAGAAGACGTGAGTGTTTGAGACGATCGTGGAAGGTATATCTTGGGTCAGGAGACTCTTGGATGTATACGAGGGGCTCTCGGGGTGCTTCGCGGGGGCATCTTGGAGGGCTTTTGTGGGTATCTGGGAGGCTTTCGGGGGCGTCGTGGGGGCCTCTGGGGGGCTTCTTGGGGGCGTCTTGGAGGCCTCTTGGGGTTTCTTGAAGGGGCCCCGGGGGCTTCTGGGGGGCTCGAGGGGCTATCTTGGTGGGAAAAGGCCCGAAATGTAAGTTCGCATTCCCTCTCTTGGGCTTTCTTGGAGCCTTCTTGGGGCCCTCCAGGGGCTGTCCTGGGCCGTCTTGGGGGGCTCCTGGGGCTGTCTTTGAGCCCTCTTGGGCCGTCTCGGGGCCTTCTTGGAGGCATCATGGGCCGTCTTGGGACTATCTTGGGTGCCACTTGGGCCGTCGTGTTCGCTGTCCAAACATAACATGCGAATGTGCTGACAATGGGCGCTTTCTTGAGGGAATGGGAAGATGTTGGCCTCTTGGGGCCCTCTCGGCGATCCTCTGGAGGCGCTTGTGGGCTGTCTTGGGGGCCTCGTGGGCCATCTTGAAGCCATCTTGGATCGTCGTGGGGCTACGCTGGGCCGTCATAGCGCTCTCTTCGACTGTCTCGGCGCTCCGTCTAGGCCCTGTCGGGCTGTCTTGGGTTGGGTTTTTTTCGGGGCTCCGGAGGCCCCGGGGAAGCGGTGACGAGCTCATGCCCCCAGCCCTCCTCCCCCTGGGCTCCTCTGGGCCCACCTTCGCCCTGCCCCCCCCCCCCCCCCCCTTTTAATGCGATTTCGAGCTTCAGGGGAGGGGGGAGAAGAAGAGGGGAACAGCCACTTGTCTCACACGCCTTTTCACCCCTGGCAAGCGGGGGTTGGCGGACTCAGAGGGAAAAGGGATGAGGAGGAGGAGGAGGAGCAGGAGGAGGAGGAGGAGGAGGAGGAGGAGAAGGAGGAGGAGGAGGAGGAAATGGTCCCGACGTCCGACGCCTGGGCCCCGAGGTGCTGTACGTGGACCGCGCGGCGCCCGGATTCGACTGCACCGTCGCGGAGCCCGCGGGACCTGGGCTTAGGGGTGGCTCCCAAGGAGGATGCGCGGGAAGTCCCCGGGAGGAGAAGGAGGAGGAGGAGGAGGAGGAGGAGGAGGAGGAGGAGGAGGAGGAGGAGGACGACGACGAGGAGAGGAGGAGGACGAGGAGACGAGGAGGACGAGGAGGAGGAGGAGGAGGAGGAGGAGGAGGAGGAGGAGGAGGAGGAGGAGGAGGAGGAGGAGGAGAGGAGGAGTCAGGAGGAGTCAGGAGGAGTCAGGAGGAGTCAGGAGGAGTCAGGAGGAGAAGCAGGAGGAGCGCAGGAGAAGAAGCAGGAAGAGGAAGAGGAAGGAGGAGGAGGAGGAGGAGGAGGAGAGGAGGAGGAGGAGGAGGAGGATGAGGAAAAAGTGGAGGAGGCAGGAGGAGGAAGAAGAGGAGGAGGAGGAGGAGGAGGAGGAGGAGGAGGAGGAGGAGTCAGGAGTCAGGAGTCAGGAGTCAGGAGTCGGAGTCGGAGTCGGATGCCTTGGCAGCTGTCTGCATTTGTTCCTCGATGCCTGGGCTGCTGGCTCGCTACAAGGGTTTTGCGGTAGGGGTCGCCTGCAGGACCCCTGGCTGTAAGGCCTTCTGACCCGCTTCAGTGCAGGGCCAAGGAGTCAGGAGGAGGAGGAGAAGGAGGAGCGCGGTTTGTGTTCAATGTTGCCGAGCAGGGGCGGGAGGACGAGGATGGTAGTCCGATTTGGTTTGAGCGGAGGGGAGGAGGAGGAGGAGGAGGAGGAGGAGGAGGAGGAGGAGGAGGAGGAGCTGGGAGTAGGATGAGGAGATGGAGGACGAGTGGTAGCCTGCGAACCTGCGGGCCCCGGCCGAGGCTACGGTTCCCGCTCGGGTTTCCCATCGTGCTTCCCTTGCACGGCGACGACGCCGCCCACGACGACGACGGCGGCGGCGGCGACAACGACGAGCACGAGCACGACAACGTTAACATGGCGATTACGATGCCGACGAACGCGACGATAGCGACGACGCGTGACGGCAAGCGCCGACGACGCTGAAGATGATGACGACGTCCCTAACGACGACACTGACGACAGCGGTGCTACTGACGACGATGACGGCCCTGACGACGAACCGTGACCCACGATGCTTTTCTTTGTTTTGTGTCTAAATGCTTCCGGGGATCCTCCCAGAGACCTTCCCTACTCCTCCTCCTCATCCTCCCCCTCCTCCGTCTTCTCATCCGCACTTACCCTGTCTTGCCCCTTGTCTTCCATGCGATCCTCCTTCCTCTCCTTCCTCCCCTCGCCCTCCTTTATCCTCCACCCCTCCCGCCTCTCTCCTCTTCCCCCCTTTCTCTTCCCTCCCTCCCCCTTGCCCCCCTCCCTCCTCCGCCGCCCTCCTTCCTCTTCTTTTTCCTCCTCCCTCCCTCCCCTCCCCTCCCTCCGTCCCTCCCTCCCTTCTCCCCCCGAGGCTACAAGAGGCTGCCCGCGATCGTGAAGGCCTCGGGCGGCGAGGCGATGTCGGCGATCGGCTCGCTCTTCGGCGGCATGGGCGGGGGCGCCAGGCCAGCAAGGAAGCGCCTTCGTTTTTCGTTGGTTTATTCTCTCTCTCTCTCTCTTGTTCTCTCTCTCTATCTCTGGCGCCAGGTTATCAAGGTTATCCGGGCCAATCAGGATTGACAGGGCTACCCATCCTGGGGGATGCCGTGCCAGACTGACCGCCCGTTGCCACCGGCCGGACACACCATTCCGATACCAAACCTTGCCGAGCATAGTGGTGTTAAGTGTAGTCTATGTTTCTCTGTGCTATGACTTCTCGTGAACTGCTGATTGCCATTCCCTCAGTCTTGGGTGTTCATGATTGTTGGTTGGGATACGGCTGTGGGTTCCTAATGTTACCCCCCGTTGTTGCATCATTATCGCATGCGTTTAGGCTTGCGCTTCATGTGGTCGTAACATGGATGACGCTACGACGTTGTTAACATGTTCAGCCATGACGCGACCCGAATGCGCAGTTTTATATGCCAGAGACAAGGGCGCCCTCGAGGGTGCGAAGTTATTCGCGCTTCGCGGTTCGGCTCCGATTCCTCCTCATCCTCCTCTTCTCCCTTCGGAGGCGGCGGGAGAGCGCGAAGTTGTTTGCACTTCGCGCTTCGCGCAGCGCGAAGCGCGAAGTTGGGAGCCCTTGCAGAGAGCAGCGGCATCAAATTCCATAAGTCTGAAGGGCAGGGGGACACTCCGGGGAAAGGCCTCCTCTCGCGACTCCCTCGGCTGGCTCAGTCCCGACAGGAATCGCCACAGGTGTCCCCGTTCTTGGTCCCATGGCGGAGGTCAGAGATCTGGTTCCTCCTCCTCCTCCTCCTCGTCCTCCTCGTCCTCCTCTTTCTCCTCCTCCTCCTCCTCCTCCTCCTCCTCCTCCTCCTCCCTCCTCCTCCTCCTCCGCAAGATGGGAGGGATGAAGGACAGCGCAGGGGAAGTCGGAAGACAATTTCAACAAGGGCATGGTGAACGATCTTTCTCCCAGATGAATGCGAGACTCGATGCTCTTGGAATTAAGCGTGTGAAGAAGTTTGATCGAGATCCAACTGGCCACCACGAGTGAGGCAATTTACCTGCAGTAGGCTACCTCTCAGAACACATCACGGGTGCGGCACATTCAGAGAAGGCGCCCATCGTACCCAAGCCGTTAACTTGGAATACAGAGCTATGCAAGCGAACTCTGTTGCTCTCATCTTGAACCAGCTGTCTCAAGCGGCACCCATCGCTGGTCGGAATAGCAAGTCCAGAGGTCCTTCCAAGGCTCCAGCTTGGGCCATAGCCCCAAGTGATCAAAGAGACACTTCCGTCCGCACGAATTTAGTCCAGAGAGGAACAGATATTGCAGTAAGCTCGCAGGACTCTTCCCAACGCAGGTGTGTCCGAGACAGCTGGTATCGTTGCTCCTGCTGGGTGTGGTTATCATGCGGACATCAAGTGAGGCTTCGGAGACAATAGAATCTCTGGAACGTCGCAGCGACAAGCCAATATGGCGCGGTTCGACCAGCACTAAGGATGAGCCAGCCCCAGCCCGCATCTGGCAGATCCGTGCTGGATCTACTTGTGCTTGATCCCAAGATTTCCCTGACCATGTTGTTGCGTGCGGCAGGACGAGGAAAGCTGGGCCGCACCTGTATGAGCCTCGGGGCACTCCACTGTGTGCTGAAGGCACGATGGCGGATCATTTCACAGGGATTGCGGGGCTGAGCCTGTAGCCGCCTGGGCTCGAGCCGCCCCGGTCGAGGCCCCGCCGCCCGCCTCCCGAGGCCGCCGGGCGGCGCTCTCGCCAAAAAGGGCCCCGCGCCCGGCCCCTGGGCGGCGCGGCCCCGGCCGCGATGTCGCTCTCGTTTCCGGCGCCCGGGGCGCCCGCGGTGGACCCGGAGTTGGTGTTTAGTGGAGCGAGAAGTGGCATAAACCTGAAGACTCGGAGGTCCGCGCGGAGTTCTCGGATCGGCGCTGCCACCCCCCCCCCACGGCGCGCGGAGCGCGCCAGGGGCGGCGCGCGGAGGCGCCGGCGTGGGGCCCCATCGCCGATGCGGGAAGTCCGCGCGGCCCTCGGAGTTTTATGTTTATGCCACTTGTTGTTCCCCTAGGTGAGGCTCGTGTCCGCGGTGGTCGCGGAGAATCTGTTCGAGGTGAACTTCAACATCAACGCCCTGCAGGAGCTCACCACCCACCAAACCACCCCAACCCAACTCGAAGGCCTCAATTTGCCCTCCATTTCCAGTGGGGGGGGGGTCGGGGAACATCGAGAAAACACATGTGGAACCCGTAACCCCCCCAACCCGAAATTCGGGTCTTCGGGTTGGGTCGGGGTGGTCTGGTAGGTGGTCAGGAGCAGCTGGCGGAGGTCCAGGACAGGCTGGCCTCCCTGGATGCCGCCGCCGCCCCCGCGGCCGGGGCGGGGGCGGGCGACGAGCCGCTCCGTGGCAGGGTGGCGTCCCTGGAGAGGGCCGCGGCTGCCGCGTCCAGGGCAGTCGAGGAGCTGCGCGCTTCGCCGCAGGGGGAGGCCAAGGTCACCCCTGTCCCCCAGCAGCCGGTGACGTACTACGACTTCTGGGAGCTGGAGGAGAAGGTGAGGGCGCTGACCTCCCAAGTGGCTACCGCGGAGATCTCCCAGAGCATGCCCAGCGCGGAGTCCCTGCTCAAGAAGTTCGGCGACGTCGAGGAGGAGCAGGCCTCCATCAGGGAGAGCTGCGACGCCGTCCAGGGGCAGGTCGAAACGCTGGAGGAGCAGATAGAGCACTGGCGCATCGGCTGGGCCATATTCGCTCTCAGCGCCCTCAACCTCAAGGAGAGCGACAGGAGAGACTGCCTGAGGCGCCTCAAGGAGGAGGAGGAGCGCCTGAGGCGGGCCAAGCTCGGCCTGGCGCCCAGTCCCGAGGCGAGCCCCGGCAACATCTCCCGCGCCAGTTCCTGGGGCCTCCCGACGACGAGAACACCCCGCGCAGGCATCACGGCCCCCCCCGTCCTGAACAGCAGCAGGCGCCAGGTCCACGCGCAGCCAGGGCCACAGCCGCAGTTTCACACGTAGCCGACCGCGGGCGAGCCGACCAAGGACAAGCGCGCGGGAGCCTGGCCGACCTGCCACGGCCGAGCAGGCCGCTCTCCCACACCGTCTCCGCCTCCGTGGACTGCCCACGCCCGCTCGAGCGCCGCCGGGCAGAAGACCCGGAGCCGTCGAGCAGGTCAACGTGTAGATTTAAGTCGGGACTGTCCTTCTACAGGAGGAATATCAAAAAATAGCCTGGACACGGGTTTTGACTAGCTTTGAACGGTTTCCGCCTAGTGTTTGTTAATTTTTAATGTTTAGTCAGTTGGACTCGTTTTTTCTTGTATTCTTCGTCCAACATCCCCCTGCAGGAGGACACGCCCGACCTGAGTGTAGACTCTGTCGGCAGGCCCCGTCGGTGCAGGCCGCCCGTGGTGGCCCACAAGCGGCCGCCCTTGGGACCCCTTCCGCTCGCCCGCTCTGCGAGGGCGGCGGCGGGCACGGAGGCAGCGCGGGCAAACGCGGCACGGCGGACGGCGGGGGGAGTCGGCGTCGGCCCGGCTGGGGTGCTTCGGTCTCGCACGTGGGGTGAACGATCGCACGGGATACAGTCTCGACGCTTCGCGTATCCCACCAGTTTCTTTGACTCCGCTAGCGCCTTCGCTGGTGGACGCGACCGAAAAAAGTATCCCACCAGTTTCGCCACCCCTCGCACCCGCCAGGCCTCGGCACGCTTCTTGGGTTTCTCTGAGTTGCTTCCCTGGCCACTTCGTGGTGCCCCCACGCGCCATTTTGGCCGCGCTGCAGCTTCGGTTGCTCAATTCACTCGCATTCAATGCGATTCGAGGCTGTTGGACCACCTGACTTCGGCCACCCTGGTACTCTGCAGCTCGCTGATGCTCACGCCCAGCATTGGGCACACAATTCGGCTTTCGGCAGTCGGTTCACTTGGCTTCGGCCACCGTGGTACTTTCGCGGTTCCATGGGTGCCCACGCCCTTGCATTAAATTCACTCGCAGCTTGCAGACCCTGGCAGCCGACCACCCTGGCAGCCAGCCCATCTTTGCAGCGCGTTGCATGCGTGCACCCTGGCATTGCAGCTTCCTAGCAGTTGCCGTCAGCCCCCTTCCACTCGCCGGCCTTGTGGCCGCTGAGGTGCCGCGTGATGCTTCGGCCCTCCGCTTCAGGTAAATTCGTCTTTGCGCGGCCCGCTCTGACTGGAAACGCCGCTGGCGCTCTCGCCTGCGGCCGCTGACTAGAAAATATCCCACCAGCTGAGCTGCTGACTTCTCAATTTCCGTGGTCGCTCTCCCGCACCGTACCTGCGTCCCGAATTGGCAACTCGGTGGGCACGCCCTGCGTTACCTGGCACCGCAGCTTTGGTTGACGTGACCTCGCTGCTGATGCGTCATGCCTTTCGCGCCGCCTTGACCGCGGCGAGCCCAGCTCCGCTCTGAGCCTGGCGCCGCTCGCTTCGTTTTTTTCTTCTTTGCTTTGGCGCGGCCCGCCTTAGCTTGCACGGCGTTCGACTCGTTTTCGCGCGCCTGCGTACCAAAATGCATCCCCACCAGCTAACCCGACAACGGTGACCAGGCAAGGTGCTTTGACCAGGGAAGTGTGGGAGCGCGCTGCGGTACAAAAAGGGGGTGGCTGCCATCGAACCGAAGATCCGGATCAGCTCGAGCAGGTCCAGGAGTCAATCGTAACTGCCTTCGCGGGTTTTTCGAAATTTGAGCCTCCTGGCAGCTTACCTCGGGCTCTCTTGGGGCCATGTTGGAGGACTTTGGGCCCTCCTGAGGCTTCTTAGAAGGAGGGGGCGAGGAAGAGGAGGAGGGGGAGGAGAAGGACCAGTGCAAGCACAAGACATCAACGATATTGCAATATACCCTCCCTCCCAATTCCCTCGTCATAGGTTTCTGCACGAATTCATTTTCACTGAGGGATCTGCCCCGTTGGGAGACATAGGTTTGAAAATCTGGAACTACGCCAGAACGCCATTCCTGGGACTTCAGCGCTGCGAACCAACAAGTGTTGCGCCCTGACATTACGACATCATGCAAAAACACCGTTCCTGGGACGTTAGCCACGATCATGCTTGAAACTGATGCGAAATTTAAAGACGGATGTGCGCGGGCGCTACGGCGAGAGCCACATTTTGGAAAGGAGCCGCTCTCCATCCGTGAAGCTCTTGCAAGCTTGTAAGACTACCGTGCGCAGCGCTAGGGCGAGAGCCACATGCTGAAAAAGGAGCCGCCCTCCATCCGTGAAGCTTTTGCAACTTGTCAGGAATAATGTGCGCGGCGCCAAGGCGAGAGCCACATGACGAAAACAACAGCCCTCCATCTGTGCAGCTGCCGCAACTCATCCAGACGAGTGTGCGCCGCGCTAAGGCGGGAGCCACCTTCTGAAGACGAAACGCCCTCCATTTGTGAGGCCCCTGCAACTGTTTAAGGGGAGCGAGCGCGACGCCTAAGGCGGGAACCGCATCTTGGCAACGGGCCGCCCTCCACCCGTGAAGCTTCGGGAGCTCAACGCGATCTGAGGTCTGAGGCGACGCGTTCCGCCCGCCCTCTCGACCAGCCTCGGGGTGCTGCAGAGAAAAAGAGAGTGGAGGAGGAGGAGGGGGACGGGGAGGAAAAGGGGGAGGAGGAGGAGGAGGAGGAGGAAGAGGAGGAACAGGGGGAAGATGACGGGGAGGAGGAGGAGGAGGAGGAGGAGGAGGAGGAGGAGGAAAAGTGGGGAGGAGGAGGACGGAAGAGGAGGAGGCAGAGGAGGAAGATGATGATGATGAGGAGGAGGCGGACGAGGAGGAGGAGGAGGAAGAGGAAGAGTGGGGAAGAGGAGGAGGAGGAGGAGGAGGCAGAGGAGGAAGATGAGGAGGGGGAGGGCGAGGAGGAGGAGGAGGAGGACCAGCGGAAACCCAAGAGTCATCAACGATGTTAGAATTACACTCCTTCCAAGCTCCCTCTTCATATGCCCCTGCAGCGGCTCATCTCCATTGAGTGAACTGCCTCGCTGGAAGACAACAGTTTGAAGATCCTGAAGCGTTCCAAGAATTGTTCTCGGGATTCCAACGCCACGTATTAACTTGACTGGTGCGTCTTGACGATCGGGAGTCGTGCCAGAACGAAATTTTGGGGACTTTGGGACTCCAACACAGCGAATCAAAATAACTGTTGCGCCCGCGTAGCCCTGAACCATTCCAAAACACCACTTCTGGTGCGCTGATCATGGGAATCCGTGAATCTCTTGCAAATTTCAAAAACGAATGCGCGCGGCGCTGAGGCGAGAACCGCATTTTGAAAAGGAGCCGCCTTCGATCCGTGAAACCCTTTTCAATGATACAAAACGGCCGTGCGCGGCGCTAAAGCGAGAGCCACATTTTGAAACCGCCCTCAATCCGTGAAGCTCTTGCAGTTTTGTTAGACGAATGTGCGCAGCGCTACGGCGAGAGTCACATGTTGAAAACGGCCCGCCCTCAATCCGTGAAGCTCATGCAAATGTTTAAATCGAATTCGAGCGGTGCTAAAGCGAGAGCCACATTTTGAAAACGACCCGCTTTCGATCCGTGAAGTTCTTTGATGTGTTTATATCGAATGTGCGCGGCGCTAAAGCGAGAGCCACATTTTGAAAACGGCCCGCACTCAATCCGTGAAGCTCTTGCATTTTTAAAGACGAATGTGCGCGGAGCTGAAGCGAGAGCCACATGTTGAAAACCACCCGCCCTCATTCCGCGAATCTCTTGCCATGTTTTAAAAAGAATGTGCGCAGCGCTTAGGCGAGAGCCACATCTTGAAAGCTGCCCGATCCCATTTGTGAAACAGCGGTATTTTTTCATGCTTCAGAAACATGAATGGTGAGGATGTCTCAGGCGAAACGCCCGGTCCGTCCTAAAACTGGCTCGGGGTGCGACAGGGAGGAGTTGTCTATATGGAATGAAGGAATGAAGGCATGAAGGAACGGAGGAGGAGGAGGAGGAGGAGGAGGAGGAGGAGGAGGAGGAGGAGGAGAGGAGGATGCGTGGGAGGAGGAGTGGGAGGATGAGACAGAGTAGGAGGAGGAGGAGGGGTAGGAGGAGAGAGGCGGAGGATGAGGAGGGGAGGCGGAGGAGGAGGAGGAGGAGGAGGAGGAGGGAGGAGGATGAAAGGAGGAGGAGAAGGAGGATGATGAAGGAGGAGGAGAGGAGGAGGAGGAGGAGAGGTGGTGGTGGAAATGGAGGAGGCGGGGGTCGCGTTGCCGCCTCCTCCGGGGAGGAGTAGAAAAAGTACGAGAAGGATTGGACTGGACCCGTCGACCGAGAACGAGATGGAGGGATAGGAGGACGCGGAGGAGGATTGTCCTCTCCTCCTCCTCCCCTCCTCCTCCTTTTCCTCCTCCTTTCCTCCTCCTCCTCCTCCTTCCTTACTCCTCCTCCTTCCTCCTCCTCCTCCTCCTACCCCCCCCATCCCTCCTGCTCCTCCTCCTCCTCTCCTCCTTTTCCTCCTCCTCCTCCTCCTCCTCCTCCTCCTCCTCCTCCTCCTCCTCCACTCCCTCCTACTCCTTCCCCCCTCCTGCGCCTCCTCCTCCTCCTCCTTTTCCTCCTCCTCCTCCTCCTCCTCTTTGAACGCGCCTCTCCTAGGAAGCCGCTGCTCTTCAAGGGCGGAGTCAAGGCCGCGGGCGGCCCCCAGCCGCGCGCGCCCCGCCGGCCCCGCTCGGCGCGTCCGCCGCCTCGGCACGCGCGCGCTCTTTCGCTCCTCGCGCGGGGTCGGCGTCACCCGCGTCTGCTGCTGCTGCTCCTCCTCCCCCCCCCTCCCTTACACCCCCCCTCCTTACCCCCCCCTCCTTACATACCTCTCCTCCTTACTCCGCCCACCTCCTTACCCCCCCCCCTCCTTATCCCCCCTGCTTACCCCCCTCCTGTACCCCCCCTCCTTACCCCCCTCCTTACCCCCCCTCCTTACCCCCCCTCCTTCCCTCCCCTCCCCGGGGCCCCTCCCATCTTTACCCCCCCCTCCTTGCCCCCCCCCCTCCTTACCCCCTCCCTTACCCCCCCTCCCCTACCC